TTTAAACATTTTTTCCAGTCATTTTGGAAAATCTATCTTTATTGATCTTTTTCCAAAATAACTCATTAAATTATTAAACAAATTCTTCTACTTAATAAATCATGTTTGCAGATAAAGAGCCTCACGTTCACCAGAGAAGACAAACCAGTCAGAAGCAGGTAACCCACATTAGGGGTTTTTTTTTTCATATTTCTCAGCATTTTTTATTTTTAGCTGCAATTTCCTCATAAAATTGTCCAGAATCTATTGAAGTCACACATCTTTCTATGCAACAGCACAATATTAAACTAATGATTCTTACTGTCACATGTTTCTCAGGATGAAGATATGTGTCTTACTAGAGTTGTGTTCCGTAGAAAGGATGGATACACACAACAGTAGAACATGGAGAGCACAAGCACCTTCGTTTGTTCGAGCAGGAAGTTAACAGAATTAAATRAGTTWWATATTTSKGAGTGTTTGAATTTAGGTCAGTTTGTCCTGTGGTTTAAGACACACAGTGCTTTTTACACCACAAAGAGGCCTGAAACACGCTTTGTGTCCAGTTACAAGTTATATTCACATTTTCACTGCTTTATATTTACTTCTATAATAACTGTTGTGACCTTGTTAGTTCATGTTTTTTAACTGTAATTTACTGTTGCCTTTATTATTACATCTGAAAACAATGCMCCTGCTGAATTCTCTTTTGTGAGCTGTGTGYGAGTAAAAACAAAATATGACCAAAGAAAGTAAAAGGTTTCTTTTTTGTTATGTAGCAAATTTTAAGTTATTGATTTTTTCATTTATGCGCTATTATCACATACATATGTTATTTCTGTTTGGAATAATTTATGGAGCAAATAGTCCCTTTGTAATTTACAAATGTATACTTTTGTGAAAGGAAATATATAACAGTACTTTCATGATTTCACTATTTTTTGCTCAGTGTGATTTAATTTGTTTGGGACCATGTACAAACTTGAACTGGATCATTTGTACCAGATTTAGCTCATAGCCACTTTCCCTAAATCTAATCATATTCAATTTGATCAAGGTTAATGGTGGCTCAGTGGTACAGWGGTTTGCACCATTGCATCACAGCAAGATGGTTCAAGGCCCTTCTTTATGGAGTGTGCATGCTTTCCATGTGCTTGTGTGTAAACATCAGACTGTACAGAAGTAGTCTACTACGAGTCCTGACCATCACACTGAACTTTGTATTTATGGAAAGATTATAGCAGCACTTGGGAGAAGGCATCTGTCAAACCTGAGAGAACTGGAGCAGCGCGGGCCACACTGAGCTGAGCAGTGTAGGCGTCTCATCATGATTTACAGAAAGCACTTGACTGTAGTAATTCCCTGAAAATGCTATGCTACAAAATATTAGGTCAAGGGTCCCAAAATCTCTGCCCGTGCCAATTTTATTTGTTATGTTTCACAGAAAATCAAATGTAACACGTCTGTTCTGTTAGATTTGCGATAAAGAAGTGCATGCTAGTCTTTTTATTGCAGTTTCAAACCATTTTAGGAAAAAAAAGAAATGTTGGTTCTTCTATTTTAAGTGATAACGCAGAACTCTGACACTCAGTTTCCAGAATTTCACAAGAGCAAGCGTTCAATACACAACAGCATTCTGTCCATGCGAGCAGAGGTTTTTACAGGAAACCGACTCTGACAAACAAACGACCACAGACCTACATACGCAGTAACGCTACATATGACTTACCCACTGAGGGTTCTGGCACATCGATCTTTAGAAATGTTTTTTCCTCTCACAATGATGATGCGACTCATGCACATTAACGGAAGTCACACATAAGAACTACAGCTCTGCAGCCACCTCATCTCTGAATGTTGACACAAGTATCACTGTACATCCTCTAAATGATTGTATCTGAATTACTTATATGGATATTTGTTACCTACACCAAGTAGCTGATATTTGAACCCCTGTCCGTTTGTTTGTTTGTTGGTGTTACAACCCCGCTCAGATGAAAACCCAGTCACAACAAGATTAATGAGTCTCTCCTCTTCTCAGCTCCCAAGAACCACCAGCAACAAATTATTACGAACCGTTTAAAGGTTTATTAAAAATGTGTTTTTGCTTCAGGGGGAGGGGCAAAAGCAAATAAACAAACTAAAACAACCTGAACTGACCTACTCAAAGAAACAAAAAGACAAGTTCCTAACCTAACTCCTAATCCAAATACAGGAGAAAACAAGAGTTAAACAAAATGCCACCCACCCCTACCAAACCAGGCTGGTACATGGACATCAAGCAACAATTCTGAACACAATTCTGAACACAATTCACACACATTTCACACACATTTCACACACATTTCACACACACTTCACATTTTCAAGTTACAATTCAGGCTGACAGAGAGAGACTGCAGGCACTGGTGGAAGCCGTCCTCTTAACCTGCAAGCTTGGAGGCTGGAACCAATCAGCTCCCTGGAAACAAACCTACACACTCACAGTCAATCATCCACTCAGTCAGTCGTTGAGCCAAACACACCTGCAACACATCACACACAAGCACCACAGCAGAGAGAGAGAGAGAGAGAGAGAGAGAGAGAGCCACAACACAGTAGATGAAAGCACATACACCGATGTATAGAACATTTCATACCACCTCCCCTTTAAGAATTAAATATTTCTCTACACTTTGTGGAAGGATGTGGTACAGATCAGGAAAGAACTCATTAGTCATGGATCTAGATTTAAAAAATCAGGCATATTTAGGGGACTGATAATTATGAGTATGAGAAATTGGGTGCAGATCCAAACAAAAACCTGGATATAGTGAATTTAAATGTAGTTTCATAAGAGGACTGTTGGGCCTTGGCAGAGATATGCACTCTACTGAGTGTCTACTGACATTCTAATCTGGTCATGTACTGCCTGTTTCTGTTGCTGGTTGATGATCAAATATTCACCATTCAGAGCATGTGGAATTTGAATATTTATAGAGGAGGTCAGGAGAGGTAGAAAAAAGGACCATTTATCTGTTTCCTTGCAACAACAATAGCATAATTAAACCATCGACATAGATGGATGACATAACAGCTACTCAAAAGTGAAGCCAAAGTCTCTTGATCGCCCCCTGGTGGCTGGCTACAGTGCAAGTCAGAAACCCTGTCTTCTCCATTTAACTGGGTGGTACACAAACCAAACTAGAAAGTGAAGGTACAGGTCAAATAAATAGAATAAAATAAATTCATTAGTAATCTTTATATACAGTCTATGTTAGTAATGTGATTCTGTAAAAACAAGGTGAAACCTCATGATTGACAGTTGAGACTGACACACGATTGGTTGTCCCCTGAGCACTGCTGTGCAGAATCTGTTTTAAGTGACATCATCATCACAAGACGGCAACGTTCCAATACGGGATATTTTAGGTTCATTTCTGGAAAGTGGGAGTAAGTGGAGACACGTCGTCCATCTTTATATTTAGTCTATGAATTATACCATTGTGTGGATTAAATCATTTAAAAGGAAAAACCACAGGAAGTATGTCTCCTGTCTAAGAGTAGTCTGGCAATGATTTAACTTCATTAAAATGGAATAAAATCTCATGTCCCCTAATGTGACCATCTTACAGAGTCATCTTCATCAATCAGTGCATCATAAACCTGTTCTACTGATTTTTATTTGATATCAAAAATGCTTGAATACAATTAAAACATACTCAGAAATACTTTGAGTGGATTTCTGTCAAGCAAATTAATTAACAAGCCACACTGGTGCTAAAGACAGTCTGAATAATCTTATTAAATTTAGATACGATGAAAGGATATGGCTCCATTACACTGGCTGTGTCGTTTGGTGCACAATGTAAAATAGTGAATTTCTATGGAAGCTGTCTGAAATATAGTCCACGGTCTGACAATGACCATTCATGTCACAGATGGTGTTCTCAGTAGGATTTGGAATGAGTACATGTCAGCGTGGCAGCAGACCAACCTGGAAATGAGACAGCCTTTTTTCATTGTATTTTATTGCAACAATACGACAGCTTGTTCTTTTAATCACACCCCAAAAAAAGGAAATGTGTTTTGTTCCCATTCAGATGTTCTCAACCTGGTTTTCACACGAAACAGTGTGTACGAAGTGAGCAACGTGTTTCTTAAAACAACAGAGCATCTGTGGTCATAAAGCCCCTGCAGACAGTAAATGCTCTCTATTACTTCTCATGAGGTAAAGCTGAATATTTCATATGAATCTTCTGCTTCTCAGAGTGTCCTCTTCTGAATTTCATGCTGTTTTCATGTAAGTAATGAAAATCAAATGTACTGTACAGTTTAAGAGTTCAACCTGTTTTGGGTTTTTGAAAGAATACTTTCCTTATGTTTCTCCAAGGTACTTTTTATTTGTGTAAATCCTGCAACACTGTGGACAGTTCATTAATGATAAAAACATTTTTTTACATATGCATTTCATTTTTCTCGTGGTCATCTGGTGTAAAATTCTGTTTGAAGGGAGGTGTACTGTGTAATAAATGATTAGTAAAGATGATCTTGATCTGACCTCTAGTGGAAAGTTGATGCAATGCACCGTATAGTCCAATAAAAAGGAGGGGCCTCACAGTTAAAGTGTCCAAACTGAATTAAATGGTGTTTTTTAATGCTCAGTCACTGTGGCTGCTGGAATAAACATGATGTTCTATCTTTAACAATAGTAGCACTGCTGTTCTTTTCAAGGGGTCTAATGAAAAAGTGTCCTCACTGAGCATGAAGGTTCTATCAGGGCTGTATTAATTCAAGCTGCAATTCAATATTTCACATCTCTTTCACAAAGGATTGAAATAATTTATACACTGGTGATGTTTAGGTTGTTTTTAATTGTACATGAGTGCACAATATATCCTTATTTCACCTTATTTGTTTTCTCAATCATCAGTTGCTATTAAATCAGTATATAACAACAGTCCAATAAATCATATTTTCATACTAATACACAGCAGCGTACAGCAGTTATCCTCACCTAAGACAAGAGGAAATGTTGTATTCATATATCCCTAATACTTGGCACTCATTCAAAGTAAGACAAGACAGAGATCATATTCAAATAATCAATTATTAATTCAATCAAAAGCAATTTCTCAGTTATTTGATTTAAAAAGTCATATTAGGCTACTGACTTGTTATGTCTGTAAACAATAAAAGAAACATAAATAATCCATAAACAAACAATTCAAGCAGTCAAATATGCATCTAAATGCACTAATTTAAAAAAGAAAAAAACTGCTTTACTGTTTTCGTAATAAACTGCTCTTGGGAATTATGCACATTTTTAACAGAACTTGAGTGATTCCTTAACCCTGATCAATTTGCAACCTTGTAGGCTTTTAGATTGTTAGTGATACACCAGCTGTCAAAAATGCCCCATTGCACTTCATGAAAACGCTTCCAGAACGCTGTGACTGAGGTAGCTGCAGCTGAGTAGTAGAGTGCACAAAATAAAGAAATACACAGCAACCAGCAGTTTCAGTTCTGAAAGCATCTGCTCCAGGTAACAAGGTAATAAATGTTATTTTATGTCTATTTCAGCTGGTGATCCGAGTCATGGCCTTTTGCAGGGAGCCTGAAGTTATGGCTCTGCTCTTAGATCCAATTCATCCTTCTCTTTTGTTTTTAGCTGGACCACAACAGCAGGGCCTGCCCTACAGCCCCAAACACAAATGTCTGTCCCTCTGACGCACTGGACAATAGCAAACAACAATCAAATGAAAGAGGAAAAAAAACAAGACTAAAAGTTTAAAGCAAACAACTACTTGTCTCAGCAGAACTGTGTGGGTGTCGTCAAACAGCCCTACAATAAATCTGATTTTTAAAATGTTCCTAAACCTGATGGGTGCGTGATTGACAATCTGCTGTCAAAAGCCGCCATGTTGTCAAATATATATTGCAGATTGTAAAGATAGAGGTTGACGGTGACAGTGAGATAAAGCTGAACACAAACCATGACCTACATGCCACAAATTTACAGTCTACGTTAAGGAAAACAGCTTAATAACCCCAAGTCCTGCTTTAATTTGCCTTCAGGCCTGATCAGATCATGGTAACTGTGGTGAAGTCAATATAGCTTCTGCACAAGGCTCCCACAAATAATGAGGAGTGCAAAATGCCTTTAGTTAGAAATACAGACACAGGCCTCATGGAGGATGATCTGGTGGTGGCTGTTACCAGAAACCAAGAGCTGTGGTTACCAGGAAACCAAAACATTGTACATTGTACATTTTACTGGTATGTTGAGTGTCAAACTCCAATATATGTTGATTAACAACTTATACTCATTGTATTAAAAACTGTAGTATGGAAAATGAAGAAAAATGTCAGACCAGACTCTCTTTCATTTGTTATGTCATAGAATACAAATCGAGTTCCAAAGGGGGAAACTTATTGAGACCTCACTGAATTTAACCACAGTTTTCTCGAAACAAAATGCTTTCATTTTCTACTGCAAGAAGTGTCTTCAGTGGACGTTCAAACTGAATTCAAGCATTGTCTCTGTTATACAGAAGAGCAGCATGTATTTAAACATTATTTAATCCTTCAGCCATAGGCAAAGCATCAAAACAAATCTACATTCAATTCAATAATATATGGCATCAACCATAAGTGTAAATAAGACTTAATCAAACATCATCTTTAAATATAAAGTAAGTCACGTGAAAGGTTTTTGCAGTGTCATACTGATAACATATGCAACTGTCATGTCACCAAATGTACTGTACTGTCTTAAAAAAAATTTCACATGCAACATTAAGCATCATACATATACCATGATTCTCTCAGTGCCACCAAACTCAGGGATTGAAAACATCAATATATTATTTAATGTTCCAGACACTGACTTCTTCAGGTAAGATTGTGCTTTCTAGAAGTGCTACCTGATATCTTCAATTCGATTCTAAAATGCTATTTTATGATTCAATAAAATGCTAAGAAAATGAAAAGAAAATACTTTCAACTGATTGTCAGAGTTTCTGAAGACCACTTTGAGGCTTCTCTGTTGTTGAATCATTTTTCTTTTTAAAAAGACTTTTGAGCTTCAGGGATTTCTTGCTCTTTTCTTTATCCTTGCTCCTCTCTTCTCCAGTCTCAGAAGGGGATGTCAGAGATGGAATGGCAACCCTTGGTGGAGGCAGAGGAGGCTCTGCGTCTGCTGGCAGTCTGGCCTGAGGAGGTGTTGGAGGGTTGCAGGATTTTTCAAGGATTCCATCATACACGAGCTGGCTCAATGGACCAGCGTTGAACAGATCTGATGATGTCCACGGCCCCTGGGAGGTTACCATAAGGTCTGGCTGTCCAAACCGACCTAAAGATGAACTTGATTCAGATGCTCCAAACTCCTCCTTCTGTGTTGGATGTTTAGGTATGTCTACCGGACCATCAACTCTATCCCTGATTTTTCCTGCGGGATTGTCAACTGCACTGTCTGTGTCATCTCTTGCCATTCTTGGAATTCTCCGTCTGAGAGAACCAGCAGACAACTCATGTTCATTTCTCAGAATCTTCCGGTTTGCTGGTTCTAAACTAAACTCTGCAGAGGACGAGGTATCCATAAGGGCATCAAGTTTCTCTCTGGATAGCATCTTTTGGGAAGCAGGATCTGTACAATACTCCAACTCATCCCGTGAGATCCTTCTTGGTGTTCTAGTTGTCTCAACCATTTTGTCCACTGTTAATGCCCTCACAGGGGAATCAAGCTGACATTCCCCTTTATTCCACGAAAGCTTTCTAGAACCTGTGTCTACAGAAATACCTATAGAATTTCTTGTTATTTTTCTGGGTACTAAGTCAAACGGATGCTCAGCATCATCTTGTGTTATTTTTCTTAAGCTGCTGTCAAATGAAGTCCCCATCATATCTCTGGATATCTTCCTTGGTGCCTGTTTATCTGCTGATGCTTCTAATTCATTCCAAATAATCTGTTTAACGTCCATTGGTAAATCACTTATTTCTCTGTATATACTCCTTGAAGAAGTGTCACTTAAATCCCCTATTGTATCTGTATCTGTCTCTGCTTTCCAGGATGAAATATCTATCAAAGACTCTTCTTTAGACATCTTCAAAGATTCTAAAGACGAATCCAGCAATTTGTCTTTTCCCATCTTCCTACAGACAACATCTACTTCAAGCTCTTCTGTTGAAACTTTACGAACTGGAACACCAACCTCTACTTCTTTGCTCAAAGGCTTTGAAACCGAGGGATCTGAAAGTAGCTCAGTTTCATCATGATAAAGTTTTTGAGAGGAAGCATCGACAGTGGGATTACGGTACATTTTGCTGAGAGGAGGAGAAGTCATGTACTCTGTGTCTGAGTACTTCTCTTGGGAGTCTCTATTAGTGAGAGAAAGGAATGGAAGAAAAGGGGGAGGCAGAAAGGAGGGAAGGAATTACTCTATGAACAAACATCAATACAGGTGCTGCTGAAACTGTTTAAAACCACTAAAAGTTCTTGGCAAGGAGACGTACTGTTTCTTTAGTGTTTTACGGAAGAAGCTTTCTTCCTCATCAAAGCAAGGGTAAGGACCTCGGATGGGGATGAGAAGGTCAGGGTCTTGGGAGATCATGGTAGTCAGTGGCTGAGTAATGACACCAGGACGACGTGGCCGACACACGGTAGATCCCTGTCTTCGAGGAGAACGCTTCAGTGGTGCAACTGGAACAACAATCCAAATATAACAGAACAGTGTTGTAGTGTAACTCCAGGCACAGAAAACATGTTCCTAATTGTTCAGCTAGTTGGAAGTTGGTGAGGTAACCACCAACATGCTAGTCAGCCATAAACATGCTAATGCCAGTCAATCACAATACGATTGCACTTCCTTCCTATATTAGTGGCCTTACATTAACTATGATAAATGATTAAAGTATTTATGTGTTTAAAATTCACAATAACGTCTTGTATAAAATATAAATAAAGAGGTTCAGTGGAAATGTTTGGGAAACAAGTGCGAAGCGAGTAGCCAATAAGGGACTGTTGCTGGGGAAGATACGTATATAGCAAAATAAATGTGGCCAATCAACATTATCGAAAATAATGCCCGAAGGGTGATTCTGATAGCGGCCAAGCCCGGTCTCTCCACAGTGGTGGAGGAAATCAGATGGTACTAGTGACAATGATGGCCGTGGGTACGCACGAAACAGCATCGCAGCCGCCAAATAGAAAAAAGCTCAAAATTCCTGCTTCTTACCTGTCATCTGTGGTAAGATTGGAGATTCTTCTAAAAGATCCTCTATAGATCCATGTACAGAGCTATGGCATGAACAAGGTGGCTGGGGCACTCGGGGCAACCCCAGGGCAATTGAGTCTGAGTAGAGCTGAGCAGTGAGGTTTGCAAGACCGGAATTCCTAATTATGGGAAAGCCGCAGAGGCGCTCAACATGCTGCCAGCGATGGAGTCGCTCCCGCAGGCAGGCTGTTACTTCAGACAAGGCATTCCTTAACGAGATACAAAGACGTTTGTCAAATACATTACATATTGCATATTGACTGGAACAGAACTGGCACAGGTAATTCTGTCACTCACTTTGCTTGCAGGATCTTGTGGTCGACCTGATCTAAAGAGGAGCTGTGGGCAACATGGAGAGTCCCCAGCAGTGAACTCCTCTTCTTCTTAATCTTCTCTGCCTGCAAGGAAGTAAAGGCAGTGGATCAGTCAACAGCAAGTAGGTTGTCCGGAAACAGATGAGCTCCATATCCATTGGAACTCATTTCAATTGTCTCACCATGACCAGTCACACAATCATGAAAGATGAAAGATAAAATGTTGATTCACTATTTTCCATGTTTTTCAAATATTCTTCTTAAGACATTACCTCTTCCTTGGCGATGGAGAGTTGCAGTTCTGCACTCTGCTTCTTGACGTTGTAGTACTGGACCTCTACTTCATGCGTCAGCTGGAGCCACTGCTGCAGAACCTCTGAGACAGTCCAGCTTGCCTGCATGTCCTTCTCCGCCTGCTTCAGTGCCCCGCGGACCTAAATGGATACCATTGGTCAAATGTTCGACAGCAACAACTGGTGAAAACTGGTTTTCATTGGTTCAAACAACAGCAAAAGAAAGCGTCTTAATTCTGCAAATGTGTTGTTTTCTCTCGGTGTGCGTATGGTGCATTGCGTCTACCTGTTCCAGCTCTTCCTCTGCATACCGCAGGCGGCTGAGCTCAGTGACAGCACCCTGCCTCAGCTCATGCAGACGATAAGCCTCCTCCTGTGCTCCCATGATCTCGTCCCTCATCTTCTCCTCCAGGTTCTGTTTCTCCTCCGCAACATTACGCTTCTCTTCCTGGGCTCTCTCCAGCCTGAGAAAGTGTAAAAGTTATTGGTATAACTCCACAAGACTACGAGTCATTTATATAATACACTGCAGGTGACAGACAAAGAAAAACTCCTGGTTACTCACTGTTCCTGTAAATCTATGAGGCTCTGCTCAGCCCTCTGAAGACTTTCCAAATCTTTCATCATCTTGGTTATGTGGACTTTACTGGCTTTGTTCTGGGCCTGAGCAAACCAGCAGCCTCCAACTCCCATCACCACTGACACAATGAGCACCAGGTCCTTCATGTAATTATGAGGACCTGTGGTTGAGTGAAAAGATGTGAAGTTACGGTGGATGTATCATAAATGAATCAGAAGTGAAGAGATAAAGGTAAAGTATGCCAGATTAGACTTTTACTCAAACACTGTGCATGTGCATGTGAAATCTAAAGAGACAAGAACAGAAACAGATACATTCAAGAGACATAAGAGTTGGGGGAGTGTGAGGGCTTGTTCGTACGTGCAGGCGGTCCGAACAGCACCACGTCCAGAGCTTTGATGTTGAGCTTCTGTTTGTCTCTCTGGTCCTGAACTCTCAGCTGGACGCTCAGGAATGAAGGCTCATTAGCAGCGATCCTGCGCACAGACGTCACAGGCAGTACATGTTCACCACGTTGCTGTGGCTCTTAACAACATACTTACTTTGACATCACAACAGAAGAGTGTTCTTTTTGGTTGATTTTAGCCCCGTCGTTGGCCATGCTCACCTGGGGAGTGTGTTTCCGTTGACCTTGAAGTCTTTGAAGTTTCTCTCATACTGCGGCAACTCAACAAAGTCCTTCAGCCAGCGAAGCACCTCATCTTGAGTCCAGTTGTGTACTGAAAAACAAGACGATGAAAGAAAACAAAGAAGGTAAAGACAAAGTAGGCATCTACACACACACAGAAACAAACACACACTCTCTCTCTCCCTCTTTCACATACACACACACACCTTCAGATGACTTCCAGCCCCTCCAGAGCTCCTCAACCGTGATGTGTTGGTCTTCTCTGTGCAGGTTGCTGTGTTTGTTGGTGTGCTGCTGCTTCATGTCTTCGATGATAAACTGCAAAAAATGGAGGGACACAGGAATAAAGTTGAGTTTTTCAGATACAGACATTAAGGAGCGAGGTCAGGAGAACCTAGTCGTCCAAAATAAACAAGTGTGTGATGATCCGCAGGCATAAAGAGTGGGTGTTTTGAGACTATATTTATCTATAATGGACACAGAAGCATGAGTGTGTATTACGGACTCCAGCGAATGCATGCTTGTGGTTGTGTGTGTTAGGGCTGTCTTGGAATGTGTCCTTGGCTGTAAACGGAGGCTTCATATGATGGCTGGAGGAATCTCGAGGCTGCGCTGCGTTCTGATGATCCTAGGCCCTTCCCCTTGAGTTTCTATGGCAACCGCAACCTGAGCCCCTGGATACTGTATCCGTGCACTGCATTCTGGACGTCGAAGGCATTCAAGAATTCTGGGTTTACTACCGATGTCACATACAAGTAGACTCTCTGAACACAATTTCTCTCTGCTCTGAATGTAATCTTCTCAGAAATATTTATCCCAACACAAAAAGACATTGTGATTTTTTATATATAAAAATATATATTATTACATTTCTGCAAAAAGAAACAATGCATATTAACTTCATTTAGCAAAAAGATTACGTGATATTTATATTTTGTTTGGTTTTTAATCGGATAAAAAAAGTCTTTCAATGAACAAGCAGATAAAAAGTTATTTTCTTATTTGCGACTTACTGAAGAAAATAAAAGGTTGATCAGGAAACATTTAGAGGACTCACACTCTTAAGCGCAACTGTGAAGGTCACCAGTGTTTCGGTATTCTTTTAGTCCAAACAAATTTTGTCACAGAGCCAAAAGCAAAAGTTATACTGTTACTATCCTTGAAGCAGCATTTGCCTCTAGCTGCAGCCAGGACACCTGTTGTTGAACTGCTTTACCCTGTCGGCCTCTTGCATGCAGGAGCACGTACCCACTGTGATTTAGAAAATGGTCTCAAGATTATTAGGGGAGAGGGTGGTGAACATTTTATGAAAAGCGAGTTGTACCTCCACACTCTCCTCCACCTCGATTCCTCCGTCCTGGTCATCATCCATTATGTGGTGTATGATCTGCAGGGCCTCCAGGCTGTAGCGATCGGCCTCGCTCAAACATGGTGGGGTCACCACCGTGCAGGGGTCTACACGTGTCAGGGAGACATTTTATAAATCAATTGTTCACTCAACACATCCACGGAGTAACCCTCATTTATTCATCCTTCCAGCTCGACTGATCACTTCCAGCACTGATCTATAGAGTAAGCGTGTTCATTTCTGTTGACTCTTCAGTTCACTGATCCTTTTAGAGCAGAAAGATCTTCTCATCTGAGTGAATGTGATTGCTTCTGCTCATGAGGTGAATACACAATGAATAATTTCAACTAGGGCAGCAGACATAGAGTGTGCTCATTTTGTCAATACTGCCTCCTTTTTTTGTCTATGCAAAAAATGTTTCATTATTTTAAACAATATCCCCGCAGGCCAATTATAGAAGGGATATCTGTGAGTGCAGGCAATTTAGTGAGGCTTGATTGAATTTCAGGGCACATCCGTGCTATGTGCTCTGCTTAATACAATCATTTCTATCTACATCAACTATGAATATGCACAATGAACCAACTCCATAATCCTGACAAACAAATCCCACACTAGCAAAAAAATGCTTCCAGGGAAAAGAATGAACCATCTTTTTTCCAGTGTCGGTCAGAAATGATGTAATACATTTAGCATTTCTCTTTATCAGCCTATAATGCATTGGAAGATGACACAGCTTTCTATCAGTGGTCAGTGAGTCAGACTCCATTTTTGTCTCTGTGACATTAGAGTTTTGGAGCTCAGGGGAACTGGGGGTCAAAATGCCGGCCAGTTAAACCCACAATGATCAGTTCCACTGACACTAACTGCTCCCCGGCCACAGTGTATGCAAGAATTCATGAAAAAAAAGAAACCTGCTGAAGAAGTAAATCCTGGTTTCTGTCATTAGTCTTTTGCAACAATAACGGTCTTGATGTCTTGAATTTTGACATGAAGTAAATCCTCTTGGAATGAGCCTGTGCACATTCGATACAATACAGCACTGAAATAAGAGTAGGCCTTTGAAAGTCGATCCCACTACATGGATCATTATACTACCAGATAAACAGGTGGACCTGAGAGAACACAAACTGAACATGAGAGGGTGACACGATCTTAAATAAGAAATTACTCCATTGTTGCTGTTTGTGTTCATTACGTGACAGACATGGAATATTGAAACTATCGATAATCTGCTGTTTCACTTGATATTGTCAGTTTCCTGAAAAGGACGAGTGATCCGTGTTCATCTCATCAGTCCCACAGTGTAATACTGTAGAGCAGAGACATTGGTCCCCTGGCTTTTGTTGATGAAACAATGAGGAGACATCTCTGGCGATCACACATGTGTAGTGTATGCAAAGGGATTTCTGGACAGTTTTCTCAGGCAGTTCCTCAGATGCCTCCAACTACCTCTCCACAGGTGAGCTGAGGCTGGATTGTCCTAAACTCAGACTTTAAAAAAATCCCTTCACAAAGTCCAGAGAACAACATTTTACCTAATGGAAAGAAGGAGTTATAGGTGGTAACAAAGGTTTTCGGATAATTTGAACTATTTTTCCGTGCTGCCTGTTGAATAATAGAGCTTTAAGTGAAGCTCAATATCATCAAAATGCATTCAACTGGCTGAAAAATAAGTCAAGACAAAACATTTCTAGTCAAGTCAAGTGCACCTTCAAAAATTCCTTATGAAAAGTTAAAATAGAATATTAAAAAATGGTTGTTTCTCTTATAAAAATGTAGAATGAACTTTGAAGATAGAATAGATATGAAGATAGATGAAAACCATGAGAGCCAGCTGGAAAGCATATTTCACAACAGTGACATGTCCTCCAGCAGTGAAATGTGCCAATACGTGTATTTGGTATTATGGTTTTGCATTATAAGCGATGGATTGATAAGTTTGAATACTTTTTGATCTGAGTCTTTAGTTGTTCCATGTATGCTGCTTGGGCACGTACCTGTAGGGTCGAACCCTGCGCTCCCATCGGGGAGGCTGACACCCTGCAGGTCCCCGGCGCCTTGCGCGGCCACAAAGATCGCAGCGGGGAAGACGAGGAGCAGCAGAGGCGACAGAGGCAGCATTTCAGATGATTTCTCACAATATATCGTCGTCCAGAGTTGAGAAACTCCTTAAAACAAATGGAGAAGATAATATTCGCGACACCGAACCCCCGTTTGTGAGCGCACCAGTGTCAGTCTGCGAAAAAGTGTTAAGCGATATCCGTGTTGCTATTACGGGGCACAGCCAAGAAGTGAGATCTGATACCGATGATTCGCTTGAGAAATCAGACGAGCTGGATTTATAGTGTGCAACCTGGAATATCGCCTGCAACAGTGCGGACAGGATTTGTGGAGTCATCCAAATGAGCAAAGGCTGTGCGTAAAAGTTCCTCCAAAGGCGGTTAATCCAAAAAAAAAAAGGCAGATTCTGCTCTGAATGATGAATAATCCAAACTAGATCTAATAAAAACACATCAGATTAAATGAACCTGAGGTTGAAGCATCCTTAGCCACACACACACAGCAGACTCAGAAGTTTAAAAAGAGAGGAGGAGAGTTCCCTTATTTGTCAGATGATGTTTAAATTGAGGAGGAATCATAAGTTTATGATCCTGTTCAGGTCAAATGCACCCTCTCATTTCCTCGAGTCCAGTGAGAGTCTCTTCTGTGTCGGTTATTGATTCTCTCCATGAGCTGGATGATCGTAGAGGTCTCAATCTGTCCACCTCTCTGCTCTCTGTCCAGCCAGCCCTTTCCCAACAGAGACGCAGAGATGTGACGCTGTGGCGTGGAACTCTCTCCCTCTTCCCTCTTCCCTCTCCCTCTGTTTATGTGTGTGTTTCAGTAGGGCCCCCAACACTTCTTTATGTTTCCTGACTCACACTCCAACCCAAATACCCAAATATTATAAATACTGAGGGGTGACACATACTGAAGAGACATTCCAACTCCACTACTCATTTTTTACGGCCTCTCTGATTCTCACTTGGAAGGAAGATACATTAAAGGCCCCCAGACTCACTAGGAAAACTGTTGCGTGAGATCAAGACCACCATTCCAGAAATAGAGTGTCATATGTCATGTCTTGGCCCGGCTGTCTGGGTCTGACAGTTGTATGCTTGTTCACAAATCCTCAAGCAACATGGATGGACTTAGCAAATGTTTGGGCTTCTAATGACGTCTGGATGTGGCTTGGGATGGCAACTTAATTAAAAGTAAAATTAACAGTTGAAACATTTTGTGTTGAGGGACACAAACAGACTGCACAACTACACACACACACACACTAAGAGTAACAAAGTGTTAGGTTACAGCCCAACATTCTGGCTCCCAGTTTAAAAATAGTGAGGCAGATTTGACCTCCACCCTGCAGAGCAACAGATGTGGCAAGTGTCCAGTGAGGCCTCAGTAGGACCTGTGTAACCAGTGTACTGTTTATGTGTATTTGTTATTATCCTACAGCTCCTGCTCTGCTCCATGATGAGGATGAGACAGAGAGGAGAGATGGGGGTGATGCAACAAGAGCAAAACATGCCCACGTGAATTAAAAGAGAAAATCTGCACAGCTAAAAGTCCAGTTAAAGGATTTAGTTGTTGTTGAAGTTCAAAAGCACAAGACTCTTCCTCAGACGTCTGGTAGAGTGTCTGTCTCCATCAGCATCAGCAATGTTGATCCAGCAACCATGAAAAGATTCTTTACTAGATGTGCGTGTTGTTCCCGTTTTTAGAGACAAATGACGTTCAGCTTCAGCTCATTTTTATTCTTGACCTCTCACTGAAGAACCTCCGCAGATAGAGGGAAGGATAGACAGAGGGAGGAGGGAAGGTAAAGAGTGAGGACAAAAGGCAGGATGTGAGAGTAAAGACACAAGATCAATGTAAATGCTCATAAAGTCAGATGACATGATGAGGTTGTTTTAACATGCTGGATTACAGCTGAACTCACAGTACGTGTACTAACCGTTTACTTAACTGGACAAGACATAACAGCAAGGCACAGTCACAAAGACCGGGTAGACTGTGGATCTACACGTGTGACCAATAATTCAATTCTTTGAAATAAGCAAAGATTTTTATAAGGTGTACAAATTACAAAGACACATCCACCTCTGCAGAAGCAGTTGAAATACTGAAATCTACAGTAACAGAATCTCATGAAATGTTTGTACATCAGTTATGAGACGAGCTTGACCTCATCTACGGTGTGATCCTATAATACAACTACTGTGCAGGGAAGGAAGATGGTGGAGTGGACACAAAGGCCTCTCAGGTGGAGTTCGATGGCACCACTGAGGACGTGCCGCTGGATTTTTGTGATGTAAATACTGAAAACTATACAACAATAAATCCATTAGCACCGTGAAAACACATATGTTACAACTGAAGCAAAAAGTTGGCCCACCAGCCACATTTACTGACTTTCATGCCAATTATTTAAACACGACAGAGTATGATTCAAACAGAGTGATGGAAATCAGGGCACTTTGTGAGTCAGGTACTGCAGGTAGTGGTTTTAAGGCAAGATAAACTGCTCAGTACATCAGTTCACAGTTACATTTTTACTTTCTAAACAAGGCAGGTGGAGAATCTGAGTCTGGACAAGCCATCGTCTCATCACAGAAGACTCAAAGCACAAGCACAGATGATTGTACTGAAGTTAGATCTACTGTATCTGCAGCAGACACAGCTCAGTCCCAGCAGGGATACTGAGCTGTTACAGGTAAACTACAAGCTCCAGATGGTGTTAAAGCTCGTCTTCCAACATGTAAGCACAAAAGGACTCTTAAGGCTTCTTAAAATCAAGATATAAAAGAGTAAAAAGTCACATTAAAGACAGTTTAGACATTCTTTCTTTGTTCAATTACTTTCTCCTCTGGGAATATAGTACTTTTGTTTTGATGCAGTTTACTGGTATGAAAACAGCTCGTTGATTAGAAAATCTAGACCCTGGTCTTACGGAACACTGATAGTGTAATATATTATCAAATACACTACACTAATCAAAAAGGGCCATCTGGATGTAAAGAGACCGATCACAGAAGATCTAAGAGAATAACTGGGGCCAGATACCATACGCGTTTTCATTCTCTAAAGTGCCTACTTAAAAACACAGTCGGATCATTTGTTTTTTATACAGCATGTGGAATTGTGAAAAGTTCTGTTAATAAGCATGAATTTGGGTATCAAGTTCCAAAACACACCAGTGGATATTAAAACTAGAGGTGCGGTGTCAGACTATTAGAGACTCACTAAAAGCCGTTTCCACCTTAAACCCTTAATTGAGACAAAACTCTATTTGGTAACAAAAGTGAACTTACTATGCAAATGTCATAATGTACCTTAGCAAAAGTTTATAAAATATAATATGAATAAAATAATATAATAATATTTCTTGGTCCGTAAAAACTATGTTACTCTTACAACAAAATGTTTCCCTTACACACAACAGAAAAATCCCCACAGTACAAACATGTTTTTTTTTTTTTTTTACAAATCAGGTCTGTTGGCAGATTCATCTTCTTTTAAGTGAAGTTTTGAGATATCAAGCTTCTCAGATTGGGGCGTATGTCGTGTCCACAATGAACCACAAGATAGAGCTAAAGAGAGGAGTCAGTAATCCCAAGTACGTCAGTGAAGGTGACTTTTTCTTTCCTCATGATTCCACAGCTGCTCTGTCATGAAGAGTTCCTGTGCAGCTCTTCAAAGGTCCATGATCCTCTTTGGAAAGTATGTGCCCCCATTTTCTATCTCATTCACTCAAAACAACACACACACACACGATAGGTGTTACTACGAAAGCACTGACATGGTGGACGCTCCTGATGACATCCCTGAGTCAATACTGTTGTAAGCCACCTGGACCTCCCCGAGCCCACCCAGCGAGGATGATGGCGAAGAGGAAGACGCCGGTGATGATGAAGAGGTGCTGTGTGAGCGCAGAATTGCGCCAGCAGCACTGCAGTGGGGTCGCGGCCCAGGTTCAGGGGTGTAGGTGAAGGTGAGGGCAGTGGCATAGATGATTCCATCGTTGCGGACCAGTGTGACAGGGACCTGCACCGGCTGCCTCACCCAGCGCCAGCCCTCCCTGAAGGCAGAAATGTCCGGCACCACACACAGAATGCTCTCTCCACATCTTATGGGGCAGACAGATGACACAAGGTTTGAGTATTTGATCCATTAAACACTAAAGTCCACTGGTGAAAAAACCTACCATCATCTGTTAGCGACAGAAACACAACACCCAGGTATAAGGTACTTATTTCTTCTTGACACTGATGCTGCACGTTATGACGCACATTGAACTTTTGGGTGTAGCTGCATGAACAGCCATGAATGTTACTATACTTATCGTTTTTTACATCTTGGAAACAACATGAACAACGCCCCCTATGCAAGATGCAGCACTGGCGAGACAGCGAGGTGACACAGCTTCACAGTTTCCAGCACGTTTATGACGTCGAGCATTAATCACCAGAGGGAAAAAACAGAAAGGCAAGCAACTTTTTTTAGCAGGTTTACCCACAATTAGAAACGCCTGCGTATGCCTGCTAACTTTGTAGTAACAGGTGTATTAGGGCACTTTTACATCTATATTGTTTGATCCAGACCGTCAGACTTTTCACTTTAGTCCAAACCAAAATGACGACAAGGAAGTTAATTTTGCACATTTAAGCTAGTGTCGAGCACTGCGCCTCAAGTTGTTGATGAAGTTGGAAACGAAACATGAACATTAACTGGTTCATTCATTCTGTGAATTTGCAACAGAAATAATACTACCTGCCGAATTTTCTACACGGCGACATCAGACACATGCCTGTCTACAAACCAATCAATGATGAGCATAGGTAGGTGCAGCACATGTAGGTTATGACAACAGGACAAAAGTGTCTTACAAAAGTCTCAGGTCCGCTCCCTAAATTAAAAGGTGCAACCAAAACTAACTGTATCACATGTAACCAATGCAACAAAGACATGAACCTTGGTAAATATACACCCTGTGCATACACACTCACCTGTACATGGTGTCAGCCTCCACATCTCCAAACCACACTCTGAGGTTAGGGGTGAAGTTCTGTCCTGTCAGTTCCAACATCGCCACATCTCCTCCACCGTTTAACTGGACACAACATTAAAACAAAAAAGGTTTCATAACTTTAAGAAATGTCCCTACAGGCTGAGTAAAGGAAGTAAAGGGAAAAAAGGAAGTAGTTTGAAACCACAGAGTCACTCATGTTTATTGATGAAAAACAGAAAAGGCTGTGCATGTATACCTGCAGACTTTCCACCACAGGAACAGGTGTGACCGGTGTGGGGACGGGACCCATGCCCTCATAAAAGGTGTACTCTGCCTTGTTGGTGCTAATAATAGTCCAGGAAGCCCCATCGTTGATAATATCTTTGTTTGTCTCTTTGGAGCACGGTGTGGCCTGGAGAACAAATAGAAGTAAATTAATTTCACTGCCTACTAATGAGAGTAAGAAGCTTCTGGAGTGTCAGGTAGGAGCTTCTCCTTGATGAGATTATTATTACTGACAAAGATTAGACTCTTCCTGGAGTTCAGGTCAAGAAGAAAAACAGCAGCTGTGATCAATGCCCTCAGCAGACATATTAATATTCTGTTCGCTAAAGGCAGAAACATAAGCATTATTTCAACTTCATAACATTTTCTGAATCAGAATGTGACCTAGTAGAGTACATACAGTCCCCTTAAATTAAGTCAAGCTGCACTAAATTACACACACCCATTGATATCAATTGCATAAATGTGTCTGATTGATTTCATCAAGAAACATAATAATAACAATAATTTTTTTCCAGGAAAACAGTGAACAACGCTTTTTCTCACAATGTGAAAGAAAGGATGGAAAAAATGTGCTCCGCCCCCTGATCCCAATCCACAACAAAATTGAATGTATTTTTTCATCATGATTCCAGTGAGTCTTGTGGTAATCTGTGTAACACTGCTGACTAACAGATGAACAAACAAATGCAGAGTCACACCACTACATCTCTGGCCTGGATCAGCACCACAATCTGCCTCTTTAACCAGTTCATGTTTGGATTATGGGTCAATTTTGAATAACTTTTGGTGCCAAACAGAATAGAAATTAAAATAACTAACAACATAAACAATTGATTTATGTAAAATTGCACACCTGGAACTGGATGATCCTCTCCTGTGAGAGACAGAGGTACATCCTTTCTGTGTCTTTCAGGTAGAAGGCACACTTGTGCAGCTGAGACACTGGGTCATCTGCATCCATTAATGCCATCTGTTTGTCGACTTTGCGAATGACCTGAGAAATAAAACAAGTTATATATTGTATATTTGTGAACACACATTTGGAAGCATTGCACAGTTACACTACCAGTCATACGTTTTTAACAGTTGTTTTTTTAACTTAAGAGCAGAGATTTGAAAGAAAATCCATTTAAAATATTCGGTTTGATAAAGAATTGGACTCATTCAGCAGCTGAACACATTTGAAGAGTTTTTTCCACAACTGAAAAGAACAACATTGTTGCAGAACTTTTTTTTTTATATCTTGGGCAATTCATTTTTTTACCACTTATTTTTGTACCATTTAAAAAAAGTGTGTTGTTGTAAAACTTTTGACCGATGGTATATGTAGAGACATCACATATACTATATTTTAAAAACATCACTGGAATGACCGTAAACTTTCTCACATGTTATTTGACATAAAGGCATACATACCAGTCTGGGCAGGGCCATGCCAGTAACAGAACAGACCAACTTCACCATCTGGCCATAATGGATGTAACCATCTCTCACAGCAAACTCCTCCCCCTCAGACTCCTCATCGTCCACTGAACAAATGTCAAAACACAGTAATGGGTTAAATGTCTAAAAGTCCCGCTCTACCGTTACATTAACGCCTCAGATGAGTGTAAATGATCATGAAGCACACGAGAAAATTGGTCATGGATGAAGTATAAAGGGAAAACCTGTGACTCACAGAGGTGGATGTAGAAGGCACCCCACTGTTGGGAGCTGGCATGAAAGTTTCCACCCTCCACATGAAGATACCTGGTGCTGACCGTTTGGGAACGGAGACGATTGAACAACGCCACCTTAGTCCCCGAAGCTATACACACTAGGATGACAGAAAGAGAGGAGGAGTGAGTGAGTGAGAGTGAAAAGAGGTGAAGGATGAGAGATACTATGAAGCCTCTAAATCAAACGTTTGAGGGGAAAAGATGCAGCTGTCTTTATACGAGTGTGTTGACACAGCCTGTGACTCACAATCTGCATTTTTCAAGGACTGCTTCTTCTTGGAGGGCTTTGAGATGACCTTGATCCTCTTGCTGAGGAAGACTCCTATGTTGGCGCTGTTTCCGTATAACATCTTCACAGAGAGCATGAAGTGTTTCCTTTTATCCGAGTCACTGATGTACAGCGTCTTAGCCGTGCAGAAGTGCTACCGCAGGGAGAAGATGCAGATTAGGGGGGGGGGGTTATTTGAGTGTTTGTTCTCCAACTTCACCCCACCATCACCCATTCATCCGATTCTGAGAACAAGCTCATTAAATGCATCATTCTACACAATAGCAGCTACAGTAGGAACATTGCAGAAACAAACACAGGATATTGTAAAGCTCTAAAATGCAAAGCAGCTTTGCATTTGATTGTGAAGCGGAGCAATAAACAAAAGTTAAACTAAAGTGGATTGACAAACAATCTGTTTATTGCTAGAATGCCTGAAGAGGGAGACGAATATGTCAGTATATGAAGCTGCGTTATTGCACACCTTCCCCTCCAGATTGAGCTGTTGCATCTCCTGCTCACTGTTGCCTATCCCGATGAATGCACATGGCTGAGCCTCCTGCTCCGTGCAACCCTCCTTCTCCATAATCTCCAACTTCCTTTTCCAGCCACTGCCCAGCAGGTACACACAGGGCGGAGGGCAGAAAAACCTAAAGTAAACAAACGTCCATACATGAGTTCCAGTGCATCTGTTTTGACTGGTACAGACACTCAAGAATGTATCATCCAGTCACATACAAACCTTTTTTCATTGCCATATGACTTTTGGGCAACTTTTGCATGTAGTATTAGCACTGTTTGATCATCTTTGTCCTTCAAGTAATTCCTCATAGCCTCCCTGATTGGAGGAAAAACACATTATAACACATCACAGTACAAACTGTTCAAGCATCTGCATTAATCAAATTGCTTCCCTCTACCTTGTCAAACGCTGAGGCTGAGAACGCTCACCAAACTTCCTGCAAGACAAAAAACAACAGAGTATGAGGAGGTGTTTACACGTACATGTCATACAAAACAAGTGAGTACAGTGTCAATGACATCTGTGAAGCTGTTATTACCTCAGTAATAACCCTTCCGCAAAAACTACTGGACTGATAACCACGAAACTTGGTGGAAGGATGTGGTGGGTCTGGAAAGAACCCATAAACTTGGGGGGGGGGGGTTCCACTTTGTTTAACATTGCAAGTGTTTTTTCATTATTTTCCTTGATTTCTTAGAGAAGAATTCATGGATCTCTATGAACTAAATAAGGCATATTTATTTATTTTATAAAGATGGTCAATTAGGTGCAGATCCAGATAGTGCAGATAGTGAAAGAGAAATTAAAAAGACAGAAGGAAGTTGTTGAGACAAGATTTTTAAGATTATTTTTTTAATCCACTTTTACAAAAACTTTTTTTTACTGTCATGAAACTATTATTATATATTATTATATTAGTTCTTATAACCTCATATCCCTCATTTAGCTCTGTTATACCTTATATCTGTCTGAGTATGATTTTGTACAAGCTGTTCCAGATGAATTGTCCCCAGTGGGATGGATAAATTAAACTGAGTTATCATGTGGGAGCTTTAGATTAGAAAATGAAATGGTGAAATGTGAAAGTGATTTTAAGTTGTTTAAAAGGGCAAAATAATGATTGAAATACTCTGCTATGGATATTTAATACAACAGACTGTGACCAGTGTGTGAGGAGCAAAGCTTATACTTTACAAACAGAAATGAAAAAGCTGTTGCGTGGGGAAAAAAAGTTAGTAAGATAGTTTGAATGTGATTTTATAACACATGGTACATAGATTCATAAACCCCATTTTTAATCCACTCTTAAAAGCATTTGTACTGTGATTAATCTACTATTCTGTGTTCTTCTTCTCATTTGTTCCCATCGACTCTCTGCTGGGACTATTTGATGCGACAGGAGTTAGCGAAGATTTGACTTTAATCAACTTTACTGACACAGAAATGAAACCGACGAAGCTTGTTGAGACCAAATGCTGAGCGCGTGGAGAGTTCACAGAAGTGAGCGAAGTGTGAGAGAATGTGTCAGAACAACAGACGGAGCGGAGCGCAGCACAGACACCGAGAGGAAGAATGAGGGTCTTTTTCTGCACAACTGACCCCACATCAGGCTCAGTGTGTGCTGAGGCTCCGGTAACAGCTCCATACACACACACACACACCACAGACACACTACACACAGACTACACACACACTACAGACACACTACAGACACACAACACGCTGACCGGGAGAAAACTTTCTCCACAACAACACGGTGCCTTGATTTAAACACTTACCCCGTAACAACGGGCGCCATCTTCCGAATAACTCACCCCCCCTGTGAGAGAGAAAAGTCCAACAATCGCGAGATCCCTCCCACAGCCCCCCCCCCCTCACACACACACACACACACCCACGCTCACACACCCACACACACAGAGGAAACAGGCTGAGAGAGGGGGTGGGGGTGGAGGGGGGAGGAGTGACGGGGCAAAGGGGTGAGAAGAAGTGGAGGCGGGGGGAGGAGGGGGGAGGGGGGAGGACAGACGCCAAAACAACAGGCGTGGGAAAGTTGCGAGGTCGCGCGAGAGCAGGAAAACTCTCACCGTCGACTTGAATGGAGGCAGAGCGGAGATATCGCGAGAGCAGCCCTCAGTGGTGTTTTTGTTTTTTTGGAACATGGCAGCCGAACTGTAACTCGATTCCCACGACTCACTGAGGCTCGTTGAGCAATACACACAAACTCACACCTCTGTACACAGCCTGGAGATTATTATCACAAGCACTAACACAGACAGACTTCTTCACATGACCTTTACACACTGCTGGGAGCTACTTCAGTGAACGTTTCATGTATCTGTACTTTACTTTAGTAGATTTATTTTCAGGTACTTTTACTCCATATACCCAAAAAATATATTTCCACTCTACTACATTTTTATAATGCACTGTGTAACATGCTCGCATTGTTTTAATATGTTTTTATAGTAATCAATAACGAGATAGATAGATAGATACTTTATTGATCCCTGAGGAAATTCAAGCATCCAGTGGCAGTAACATACATAACAGCAGCAGTACTTTCAGAATATGATTTATTACATGATATTACTATTTAGTTTATAAATGTTTTTAAAAAATGTAAGTGTATAAAAAGTAGAACAAAAGGAATTGCATCAGTTAAGATGATATTTTAAAAACCTCGCTCGGTCTTTAGATACTCGACATACACAACGTGGTTTTCATAAGTCATTTCATAAGAGTTATATTTAGAATGTAATCACAAGATGAGGCACTTTTAAACAGTATGGTTGGAGTAATGACAACAGTTGTGCAGTGAGATAAGACATAATTAAATATAAACTCTGGCAGATTATAAGGTAAACCCAGTAAAAACATGAGGTCTAAAAACAGTCCTGTGATAAATCCTCCCTTTGTGACAGTCTTTATGTTCAGCATGTGTTCAAACTCTTCTGGCATTAATTCAACGTTATGGTCATTTTTCAGGCTGTAGTTATCATTGCCATGGAACTGAAACACATTATTTAAATAATACCTACAAATCCTCTAAATTACACTATGTATTTTCAAATCTCATTAAAACTACTTTAGCTGGACAACAAAAAAGAACTTTCTTTATCGAAATTCATGACTCATTTTAATTGAATGAAAAAAAACAGCTATTGAAAAATAGCAGATTTTGGTCAAGAGAAAGACAAATAATTTCTGGAAAGGCAAAAGTAATTCAATTCAGTGACTTTTGTTTATGTAAACCCATTGATGACAAACATGCATTTAATCAAAATGCAAGACAAGCATCATCTGATGTGCCCTCCCTCACTACTTGGTAAAATACAGCATCATATATCACAACACTGGATCTTTACTAAGCAAAGGTGCTGAGGATTGAGAATGCCTTCTACCTGACAATAATAAATGATGATCAAATCTTTCTTATTTTACAGTCTTAACACACTGTTTCACTTTTGTTTAAATCTCTTGTGTCGTGGAAAAGGATCTCACAATCTCGCAAAAAACTACTTCAGCTTTCAGAGTAATGCTGTTATTAGGCAGCAAAAGAAAGGGAAGTGAACAAGAGGCCTGTTTAATGTAGTGTTGGGGTTTTCCAGGGTGAGGAATGAAACCTGCATCTATAGCACAAAGTCAAACAGTAGATTAACAATGTTAGTTTTCAAATTCTCAAACTATTCTTGGACATGTTCTTCCTGAGTCTGTGGAGATATTTGGCAGATATGAGACGCTTCATAACTGAAGATCTTTGGGGGGAAAAAAACTTTTAAACATAAATGGTCGTAAAAAAAAAAGCAGTTAAACAGATTGAAAGAAGAAACCTATATATGTTCAGAAACAGAGAAACATCATAGTTTTGATAAAATACATTTCTTGTCTCCGGTTATCTGTGCTCCAAACATTTTCAGATTAGAACTCCAGCAATTCTGATGTCATCAAAGTCCTCTGCTACTGTTGTTTAGGGGTCCCTCTAAATTTTCCAAAAAATCCTCTTTCTGTACAGCACGTAGGCGATGAACACCCAACAGGAAGTAGCCACAAGGTTTTGGGTGAGGTGCTCAGCGTGGGATTGGCTGTTTGCCATACGCCAGCGGAAGGGGAAGTACTCCTCAAACACTTCATGGCCCACATACACGAGGATGGAGTTCATACCTGGAATCACACACAGCAACAGTCAAAACAATTTCAGACAGAATTTGCGGTTGGTGCATTTGGCAGATCTTATTCTCAGTACCCTAAAAGACAGACACTGCCTGTTCAGTGGTGTCATACTCACTATTCTTATAATTACTAATATCAAACCAACAACAAAACCCTGGTTTCTAAATTCATATCAAACTGTATTATTTGGGGAAATCATAGCCTGCCTTGGCGAGCATTTGGTTATAAGCTCAAAAATTTGCATTACCCGGCTTTATGTCTGATGATTTTACAAACCTGGGTAGTAGAAAGGTGCTCCTGACCACCACTTCTGTACGTCCACTATGAAGTAGAGCAGCACTAGCAGCACAAAGGCAAAACAGGCCAGCGTTGTCACGTAGGACAGAGACCTAGCAAGCAAGAGGAAAGAAACATGCAGAGGTGTTCAGACATTTTTTAGGCTAACTCTGTAGTTCTGGAGAGTTGGCAGCTCTAAACCGGCCTGTTTGTTTGGCCCATTGTTACAGCTTTTTTTCTGACATTGTTAAAGTGACCTGCAGTAATTGAGGCAAAGAACCCTGAAGCTGCAGCACCGCTGCTGCACAAAGAGCTGTTCACCCCTTCATTCAAAGTTTGGTGATGCTGGACTCCGCAGAACCAAGAACTGATGACTTTATTTTGTGATGGAACGAGTGTGTGTTCAGGGACATATATATATATAGGACATATATTTAGGACGCTTAGAACTTCCCCACACATTCCGTCAACAGCTGTGCTATAAAAAAGAAAATGCTGCCCAAAACATGTTTTGTTTGAAAGTGCATAAAAGAAAACGTTACCATAGGTTCTTGTTTACAGGAATGAAGCCCTGGTCTGTGGAACACTTGGTCAGAACTGCTGATGTGGCTCCCTGAGAGTCACAAGACAGTTTGTTATAAAATCAAGAAGGGGAAATGGTCCTCGGAATAAATGTGTGAAGTGAAAAGTCAAAAACATTGTGACTGAGGTACTACACTGCAATGCATGTGTCCCAAAGAGTCATTTAACAGCCATTTTTTATACACACATGTAAAACGTGATAGAGCAACTCAATGTGCTTACCAAAAAGAGACCCCATATTAGAAACCTTGAAATTATACTTGTGTGGAGATCTCTGTAGTGTAAGATAATTTTTCCTGCCTGGGGAAATTAAAAGTACAACAATTAAAAACACACACTTTTATCAATGGCAATTTGGACGTTAGATATGTAAAAAAAAGCAAAAGACAAAAAGAAAGAGACATATTCAAGTGACAAACCTGTAAACCAAGAAAAGCCATGAGGACAGAGTTGATGCTGCCGAGAACACCCTCTGGATCAAAAGGCATGCGGGTTGCATAAATCACCTGAATCAAAATGGAAACAGAGGTGGAAACTTGTAAATAAGTTCTGGTGCAGTTTAACTTTCCATCACCTGTCATGTCATTAGAAATGTGTGTTAGCCTGTGAGAGAGAAACCTGATAAGTCAGCTGAAGCTCAACATCCCAAGTTATAAAAAGACTGAACGTGTGTGTGCTCTTCCAGTTTGCTTTGCTGGTCACTCACCCTCGACGATGGAGTCTGGTAGATGTGGTTTTCTCCCAGCAGCCAACGGTCAATGAAACCAGCCGCTCCACCAGTGCAATTCATGTAGAGGCCCCTGTCCCCAATCCCACCTGGGCCCAGATAGCCTCTGTTGAAGAGAGGTGACTCTAGTGTCAATAATGGAGGATAACAGCCATCGAGAGCAAGAATAAGATTTAAAAACCAATACAAGCTGGACCGAGGATTTGGAAAGTAGTGATTTCAATTTAGACTCTGCTTATTTATTCATTCACTACCTATTTTATCAGTTTACATTTCTTATAGCTTCTGTCTGCAATCACTGGACTCCGCAGTAAACAAGGGTTTTAATCACATGGCACACAAAGAGACAAAACAACATGCCCTGATCAACTCACAGTGGACAATCTGGTACCGGGAGATGGAAAGTGAGGAACAGCCAGAGGATTTCTAAGAGGATCACACACAGCCAGGTAGGCCAGTACAGCAAGATGTCAAGGAATGGGGACCACCAAGCACTCTGGAAAACACACAATTAATCAAACACTTAAGTTTCAGCTTATTTCAGGGGACTCATGTGGCGGCAGAGCAATAAATAGAAGGTCAAAGAACGTGGGTAAAATGGAGCTGTTGGCTGACCGTCGTGAGGATGTCGAGGTGACCTTTTGCCACCAGCAGATCCAGGCAGGCTACAACCAGGTACGACCAGGCCAGGCGCTGCAACACACCGGGGATTCGCAGGTTGTCCCAAGATACTGTGGGGTGGATGAGGAGAGAGTGGGAGCAAACAGGCAGGCAGCAACGCACAAACACGTAAAGAAAGTCACAAAGTACACCAAGAGTCAACACTTTGGATCACTGTTAAAGAATAATAAATAAATGATTATTTAAATAAATGGTTTACTAAGTGGTTAACTCACATGGTCCCTGACAATAGTTTGGGTTGATGATGAAGACACCGATGATGAAGAGCTGCAGGCTCCTCCACACAGTTTTCCTCAGCAGTGAGCAGCGTGTTGAGCCTGCACACAGCAGGGAGTTGGTTGACAGTGCGATGGATGTCCCCATGATAAACACAAACCTGGTGGAGGAGGGAAACACAATGTGAGGAACTGAGATGAGTGCATTCAAGGGAACTGGTAGGTTTCATTATTTTGGGGTTAGTGGTTAAATTCAGGGTGTATATGTTGACAGGTGATTGCAATCTAAGAACACTTTGTTTTGCAAGAAAGGTAAAATGATAATAACAATAATAGTAATAGATACACTTAAAAATACATATCACAAGCACAAAGAACCAAACTCTGTTGTAACATACACAACACACCAGCTGGGAAAGCAAGAAAGGAGGTAATGGATTTTGAAATCACATTGCAATGAATGGAAACTGCATTGGATCGGGTTGAGTGAGTTTGTGGTTCTGGCTCTCTGTCAAGATACACATATGGTGTCATATGAAAACTTTTATCCCCATACAACCCTGCTCGCACTTTGAGATCCTCTGGTAGGGGCCCTTTAATTGTTCCAAACTCCCGTCTAAAGACAAAGCGGACCGAGTTGTTTTACTGTTATTTTCTGTTTTTTATTTGTGAAGCACCTTGTAACTACATTTTGAGAAGGGCTGTATAAATAAAGAACTTGTAATTCTTGTTTTTCTTCTTATTATGATTGTATAACATGATACTGTAACTCCAATGCTCGAGTGGGGTTCACTAACCTGCAGAACTAAAACATACGAGAGAAAATCTTTAGGATAGACTGATCTTACCAAGGGAAGACTAAATCTGCAACAGTCAGACCTGTAATGAGACAAATGGAAAACCCAGGTTTGGACATTAAATACAATACCAAGGATAATACTGCACCAGTTTACAAAGATCTGTGAATAACTACTAACATGGTTAAAAAAACAACAATAAAAGTAAAACTAGTCAGGACTCACCATTCCAGCTTTCGTGTCTGAAGAACCAGTATCGCCCCCCTCCATAGTTCACAAACACCATGATGACTAAAGAAATTCTGACGGGAAACAAATAAAATGCACCATTAATGAAAAGCACCATGAGAAAGATTACATAACTACAGCTAAATGGTTTGCTTGAGAGAAATATTACTTGAAACAAATATTACTACTTCAGAGAACTGGATCCATGTTGATATTATTAGTAAGGGTTTATTAATGACTGACAATCTGGTGTCAGCTGCAAAAAGTCACGCTGCAGCAAGAAACCAATGACAGGGTGTAATCACACATCAGATCAAGTGGTACTTCAGATAAGAAGCGGAACTTCTCTGAGCAAGTTGAGCCGCAGGGGTAAAGGGGGGGTGGGGTGATGGAATGGGGTTTACCCTCTGAATGTGTCCAGAGATCGCAGCCTCTTGCTGGGGTTGGGTGGAGGAGGGAGGATGCTGTCAGTATATGGTGGCACCGTCCTGCCAGGAGAGCCCAGTTCCTGGATGGTGAAATTAAAGTTAAATATTAACATTATTCGGTTAAAAGCAGCTTTTGACAGATTTTGAGTTACTACTCAATATATTTGATTAGAGAGAGTAATGAAGCCTTGGTTGATTTCACAAAGGCACATAATAGATTTACCTAACAAATAAATGCAGGAAATATTATTTAAGGTATTTTAATAATAAAAGTGTCACATTAACAAAATGATGCTGCTTCTTTCTTTACCCATCAATGAATAGTTCCCTACATATTACCACTCACAGAGTTGATGAGCCTCTCCGTCTCCATCGAGCCACTGATTCGGAAGAGGATATTCTTCACCACGCCGAGCCTGGACAAGACGTGTTCAACCAGTGTAAGAGTATTTCTATAATACGCACAAGCTCAAAGTGCATGATACATCAGGAAAACAAAGAAACAGCAGCAGTGCATCTCTGTGCTTAGTAATAATATTTGTTGACACAAGACATGATTACGCTAGAGGACCACAAGAGATATCTAACTAAAAATCCAATGAAATCGTGTTATCGTTACATTAAAACATGGTTAGTAGAGTAGATTTTGTTGGTAGCATCACAGTTTTATCTGGGAATTCATTGCATAAAGATTAAGAATGAAATGATAACATGACATTACCTTAATATTATCCTTCCAATGCAGGACACCAATGTCAGTCCAGCAAAGATAAGAAAAGCCACTAATATCGCTGTGAACAGTGGAATGGTGTCAGTTAGATGTAGTTTGTACATGGTACAATGTTACAGGGATGAACAGTATAACAACACTTATAAAGCATGACATATTTCCATGTCACACAAGATTGACTGTTAAACTGGGTGTGACTCACGTATGTAGCTGTTGATGGGGTCTGCGTCAGTCACCACAGAACAATTCGCCACTGAGGAGTCGTTGAAACTTTTCACCCACAGAGAGTAGTTCCCGTGCTCCCCAAAGTGGAACGGAACCCTGCGGATTGACGCGGTACATTAAACACATACGTAGCAAACCAGCCAGACAATAAACATACAAAGGACATATTCTTTACATGGTTCTGAAAAACTGTCATTCAACAGTGCTTCTGTAACAAGATAACACTTCAACACAACACATTCGCCTGGATACAATGTGCGTTTGCCTATTTTAAAAATTGTGTTTTCCTCATATACTGGTTGGATATGGGTTATCAGTATTCAATTAGAAGATGTGGCACAACATGGTGACTGTTAAGGATCTGTGAAGACCCTGAATTGTTATATTCATTCATGATTAGCCAAGCTGTCACATGAGTGCATCACAGAAAGTAAGCAATGTTACTTGTTTGGGACAAATTTAGTTCAGCTGTCTCCAATTGGTTGGTGCAACAATTACACAGTAAATCATATTATTGTAATATTCCTGAACATTAACTGTAAACATTTTAGAAGATGCCTTTTTTTCATGTATGGGAAAGATGTCAGTGTTATTAAACTTACGTGCACAGCTCCAGGTTGACAGGGGTGCTGTTGAGCTGTAGTGTTATGTCATGCTGTGTGCTCACAACAAAGTCAACAGAGCTGGGCTGTCCAGGACTGGGTGCAGCTGGTACAACTCCCAGCTGCTGGTGCAGACACTAGCTCACAAAGACACAAGACCAGGCACAGATTAGAAAACACCATCTTCCTTCTTGTCTGTGATTAAAGCCATACAACCACAGAGCAGACTGAAGGAACATATCAGATGTGTTTGTGAGTGAGTGAGTGAGTGAGTGAGTGAATGTACCTGGTAGCAGTGCTCTGACACCCAGGACACCACCACCTCTGTGCCCAGCTCATTGTTGACTGTCAGGGAGGCCTCGTCCATCTTCAGCACACTGTGTTTGTGATGAGTGAAGCCAGCTGGAGAAAAGAGACATCCGTTGAAATGCAGGAAGAAAACACAGATGCAGAAGATGCTGCAGCTCCACAGTGTGTCTGACCACACCCCTCTGTGCAGCCACTGGTCTCTGAGCAGTTATAGACATTATCCTAATAATCCATCAACTCAAAACGCTGGGTTTGCATTAGAACTAAAAGCATTATTGTAAAATAACCCCAGCTGCCATAACTCAACGTGGACAAACGAGAGATAAACAAACCCTGACTGCTTCGCTACAGACACTTTCACTGACTTACCTCAAAGCAACGGATCACTGCTACTGACAAACTGACTCCACACATAAAGAGTGTGGGCTGGATCTACAGAAAGGTCGCTGGAGAGAACCACCAGTCCAGACTGCGTGTGAGCTACATGCAGCTAGCAGCTGTGTCTGCCGCCTTGAGGAGGGAAGAATGTGAGCGGACTGAAGTCTCGGCTGCACAGCTCCATGGTCACATGCTGGATTAATCCGTTCAACACCCCCAGGAGGGAAGTTCAAACATCCAGAGCTCAGGCTTCCGCCGATGACTCGATTTCTCCAGTCGATGCTGATCTCGAGTCAGCTCCTGGTTAGCAAGTGTTACGGCTTACTAGTCAAACACTTCAATCTAGCTGCGAACTGTCTTCACTCGGTTTACGACAGACACCTTCATTCACCGGTGAAATGTGATCTGTACACGTGTAGACGTTAATGCGAACAGTTGTTGACATGTTAGCTAGCTGTGTTGCTAACTACCTAGCACTGGTGGTTCTCAGTAGTGAACACTGCAGGTTACTCACAGGCAGAAGCTTCAGCCGCCGGTGGAGCCACACATACAGCGACCAGCAGAGCAGCGGCAGCGAGGACCAACATGTATCTATCTAGTCGTGTCATGTCTGTCTGTGTTGGCTGTTTCCCCACCTCGACCGAAGAGGATGTGTTTTTAGACTTTTCTCCAGTTTCCCCTTTTCCATAACTGATTCCACTTCCGACTCTTCCTTGTTTTGACATTGTAGTGAGAGCGAGAAGGGACAAAGTTCATTATTAACGCAGCCAGGCCTCTGGTTCATTAACACCACACTGAAGCCTGTGTGTTGTAGTGTGTGTCATATTTACTGCCTGTTGCCATGGTGACATTCATGTATTTCCCCTTTTTCACTTTATTTACCAATGTGCAGAATGTGGAAACAATCAGCCATGTATAGACAATCTAATCCAAATCCACAATGCAAGCTCAACCAAATTAAATAATGCTAATTAGAAAGACTAGCTGTAAAAACAAAAAGAATATCCATATGAAATATATAATAATAATAATAATCCCAGGTCATAAAAAGATAGACATAGACATTTTTGTTCGCAACAAGTCTGGTCACTCTGTAACAACTATGTCTAAAGACGCCATCATTGATTTGAACGAGCCTCTTAACCTCTTGAGTTTGTATTCATTAGAGTTCTCACCAAATGTTCATGTCATAATTAAACAACAAAAAAGTCAGCACACGCTTTTTTTACTTTGAATAATTATTTTTTCGGACCCTCGATTATAATTATTTTGTATCCTTTTTTTGATAACTAGTTTGACTCGTTTGTTTTATGTTATTTGACTGATATTTATAGATTTTGACTATTATTTAATTTGACTGATCTTGCATTGCAGATTTGAATTAGAGTGTACATGGCAGATTGTTTACATATTCTCCATGTTCTGTAAGGGACAGTGACAAAACAAGGACATGATTGTCTCTGGCTCGGCTCCACAAATATAGAAAGGATTTGGTAAATTATTGTTTTGCATGGTAAATATTGTGAAAGATTTTGCTGTCAAATTCTCTCATTTTTATTTTCATACAACATATATACATATTTATAATAAATATAATAAGATCACACTCAATAACACTCATTTAATTCAGCAACATCCCTTTAAAGACACATTTCCTAACATGGACTACAACCACAGGACTACAACAAGATCAGCTGCAGATGTTTGACACTTCCTGTGCAGACCCTGTTGCCTTGGTAACATGAATATCCTTCAACCAATCAGTAGAATATAAATGAGTTTAAAAACGTCATTACGCACAATAAAAGCTTTTCAAACGCACTGCGCCGTTTTAAATTATAATCTAATCAAATGACTTCGATCATCAAGCCGGAATCTAAAAACTGTCTATTGACGCATGCGCAGGCGCGATCGTTGCAAGGATTCCTAATCGATTACCGAGTTAATCTCTAGCGCCTCTCACCGGACATCGGTCGTCACAATGGCAGATAAACAAAGTGCCCAGAAAAGGTAACGCGAACAATAACACGTCAGTGAAGTTTGGCCGCTTGATTAAACAGTAACAGAGTCAAAGTTCAGTGTCTCAGTAGCTGCGGTGAAGTGGACATGTCGCTAGTTTTATCCGCTTTTCCAAGGGGTTAGCCATAGCATCATAGCTAACACCTCCACGCCTTGTTTATCCCTCTTCTGTGTTGCAGTGTCAAAATAGCTGCCGGAGCCGTAGTTTGTGTGGAAAGTGAAATCAGAGGAGATGTCACCATTGGTAAGATGGTGAACTTTTTGTTACTGTTCACTAAACACTGAGGACAACCTGCACATCCATGCGAATCAGACTTTGAGCCAGTGACACATTTTTCCTCCTCTTGTCTCCTCAGGCCCCAGAACAGTGGTGCACCCAAAAGCTCGTATTATTGCAGAGGCAGGACCCATAGTGATTGGAGAAGGCAATTTGATCGAGGAGCAAGCTCTGATTATCAATAGGTAGGTTCCCTGTACAGCACTGTCTAATACTACTATTGCTGCTACTACTACTAATAAACTTTTTTCTGCTGCACTTATCTGAACAAGCTTACAAAGAGCTTTAAAACCACACAAAACAACATAAGACAAAATCAAACAAAAATCTGAAAGATACCATCAAAAGGCTTAATTATAAAAAATATGTTTTAAACAAGATTTTAAATCAGGTAAAGTGCTGGCAGGTCTAGTCTCCATAGGTGATGAATCACATTTGCCTGCTCACCCACACTTACCAGGCTCAATTTAGCAAGTGTTTGTTGAAAGATCTTAGATTATGGTGTGGAGCACAAGGAGTTAGTGGCTGTGTAATCTGTGGGCCAGACCATGCTGAGCTTTAAAAGTTATTTAAAAAGTTATTCTAAAACCTGGCAGCAAATGAAGGGAGGAAAGAATTGCAGAGAAACTGGCCCCACACTCTGAAGTTGATTCACAGAGGATAGACATCTCTTATCTTAGTGTATTCAGCTGCCTCTGATATGTGATCACCATCCTCACCTACATCATCATAACCACCAACCTGTTTGCTCTGCCCCACCTGCAGTTACCCAGAAAACATCACACCAGATTCTGAGGTGGAACCAAAGACGATGACCATCGGCATCAACAATGTATTTGAAGTCGGCTGTGGTATCCTTTTTATTAGCCTGAGCTGTATCACAGTCAAGCAATTTAAAGTTTAATAATCTGCTGATTCTAAGCCACCATAAGCACAATTTAGCCTTGACAGATGATTTATAGTATCACAAGCTCTGAAGATCGGGGACAACAATGTGATAGAATCTAAAGGTGGGATGTTAATGTTGCTTCCAGTGTGTGTGTTTGTGCAGAGATGTTAGCAAAGTGAAACCTACACCTACAGAGGAGGTCGGAGCCTTTAGATGAACACAATCACCAACTGTATCAAATGTCATCTGTGTCGCCCTCCTAGCTGATGTCGGTAGGAATGTGATCCTCACCAGTGGCTGTATCATCGGAGCCTTCTGTCAGGTCAACACGTGTGAGGTCATACCTGAGAACACGGTCATCTATGGCTCCGGGTGTATGAGACGGGTTCAGACAGAGAGACCACAGGTACGTACACAGACATCTGGGCAACATATTGGGGTGTAGATGGATACCCTGCACCAACTTCACAAATAGAGCAGTTATGTGTAGACTGTGTTGTACTTGTACAGATATTACTGCTATTACATCCGCCTTATCTTGTTAACATAAAACTATATGTTACTGTAATGTATTTAAGTACAATTTTACTTAAATACTTAGGATCAAGTAGCGCAGCAACACTACAACCTAAGTGACAGATTATCTAAATATGCTTACCATAAGCATGAGTATTAGCTTGTACATACTGTACATACTGTAGCTCAGATTTCTCTGAAGGGATTTCATGTTCTGGTCATTTGTAAATTACTGAATAAATCTGTATTTAAGGAAGAAAGGTGGGGCTCTGGATACCTTAAGTTAAATCTTCTATATCACAATTTGTGGTCCAGCATACGCATTCAAATTTAATGTCATTTTCTTCCAGTCTCCTCAACCTGTGCAAGTTGTACAATCTTGGTATTTCAGCTGTATAGTGGTTTTGAGTTGTTGCAAAATGGTCAGGTGTCCAATGTCCTGAGATGAAAGCATCATGAAACACATACGTTATTACCAACATTAGTTAATAAATATTTGTTTTGTTGCCTCCACAGCCCCAGACTCTTCAGCTCGACTTCCTGATGAAGATTTTGCCGAACTACCACCATCTAAAGAAAACTGTCAAAGCAGGTCACACGACCAGCTAAAATTTAGCTTCCTAGTTTTTAAGTTGAATTATAAATGGCTTATAAATGGCTAATAAAACCTTATCAGGATTAGCGCTTACTGGAAGCAAGCATGAATGTATATAATCGTATATAATAAGCAGCTTATCAGTAAGTATTGTCACTTGCTGATTAATATTTTCTACTCTAACTGCGGCAGATTAAGCATTTCATCTTTATCTAATTTTGCTGAGGTGCTTTTCTATAATAAATTAAATAACCTCAAATCAAAGAAGTGTATCATGTAATTTTTATAATCATATGGTTCATTTCTAATATTGTGGGGTTATGGTTAGTTACCATGGATTCAGAAAATGTTTTCTTTGTGTCTCCACATTTTGAAATACCAGTATTAAACAATAGTTGTTAAGAAATACTATGATTTACAACCTGAACTTATATTCAACAACTGAATACTCAATGTTGGAGACTAAAATGGCAATTCACAGTCAGTGTTGCCACTACAGTGTGTATATATATATATGTATATCAAGCCACCATCCATTATCCTGTAACAGTGTAATTTATTAAAACAAGTTCAAAACAAATTCCATATTTTAAACCACTATGCCATGGTGCTGCAAATTAAAAGAATTTAAATATTTTTAAATTTCACAGAAGGTAATGTCCCAGATGTTTCTTGCTGGATAAGAGACATCAGTGTGATGCACTGCACAACAAAACATCTGCAGTTCCTGATAAAAGGATGCCGTCAGACAACTGGTGCCATGTCACATAAAACCTTCAACACACACCTCACTGCAATACTCTAAGTGAAATAAAGAAAAAAAAAGTATTTACACATTTTAACTCATTTACATTTTAACAGGAAGGTTACAGCGCCCCCTTAAGAGCATTCACTGTCCTTAATGGTCTCAATACTCTATTTCCTCCAGTGTCCTTCAGTCATCACTGATCAACAACCAAACTGAAAAGGATTCCACAACACGGGTGCTTTTCACATCATGTAACACAAGATCACTGATCACTGAGAGGGGTGCAAAGAAAGGAAAAGAAGCCAGTTGGTTTGACATGACAGACACCCATGAAAAGTCTTTGTACTGTATTATGGCCAGAGTCCCCATCTGATGAAGAGACTCTGCTGCTCCTCTGAGGGAAGGGACTTCACTTCTTTGCAGGAACACCGTCTGAATAATCCTCCAGAACATCTGCCAAATGGTGGTTGTGGGTCTTGAAGTGTCTCTTCCTCTGCCCACCTTGCTTCTTCCTCTTTTGAACTGGCAACTGCAGAGAGCACAGAAACACAACCAACACTGATCATGATGCTCGATGAACGAAGTGTAAATGTCAGCGTTCGATGTCAAAATGTTTAAGTCTTCGTTTCTCGTGACATAAATCAGGTTCATTAAAAGTCTGGGATGTGAGACTGATAAATCAAACAGTTGCAAGAACTGAAGACACTCACCACTTTTTTTGGTCCCGTCTCCTGCATGGAGGAGATGCCTTGTTTCTTCAAGTACTCCTCAATCTTCTCATCATCAATGGAATCAACTGGAACGCTCCTCCACAGTTTCTGAAATTCTGCATTTTACAGAAATAGAAATACATTGAAGACCCAGACATACAACTATTTCATCAGTTCGACCAAATGCTTTTAAGAACATAAAAATGAAAATGAATACCAGAATGAGCCTGGTAAATAAAAATGATGACTGAAATCTATTATGAATGTAGAGCATTTGGGAAACATTATTCTCTTTTTGTGCATTAGTCACTTTATAAAGGGATTTTAACATGAGTCAGACATTTCAGAGCAATTAATAAACTTGGTTTCCTGGTTAATAACAACTTGGATGTTATATAGTGAACCTGATTTGCAGTTCAGAATCTAACAGAATCTTCAGTTAGAAGCTAAGGAGCCAAAGTTTGGCTTATACATTTTTATTTGATGACGTAAGTGTTGGTTGTTGTGCATTTTGATGATCAATGAATTGTGTAAGAGGATAAATGACAGAAAGAGTGAGCCACATCCCAACTGACAGACAGACTGATTCTCACCTTCATCTACAGTAAACTGACAGTGTTTGTCGTTGTAGAAGAGGATCTTTTTCTTGTCTGGTTTCGTCACAAAGATGATCTGATCCCCCAAAGCCTGTGAACGATCACATGAGCGCTCATTACTCTGCTAATAGATCTTTAGTTATGACAATGTTCACACAACATAGAAGTGTGTAAGACTTAAGTGCGCATCCCTCTCATTAATCGACATAATGAATTGTACATATAAGCTGGAATCTCTGGCGACATCCATAATAAATAATACATTTTAATTTTCAAACTAATATAATCTCCATCCACAGAAGCGTTTTATCTCCGTAGCAGTAATTATCCCCATCCATACTAACTGGAAGGAAGAAGGAAGCAGATTGTCAACTCTGCTGTTGGTTGCTTACTTCCAGAAAATACTACGAATGAGAAACAACAATAGTGAGCAGCAATGTGTTTTAAAACTAAAACGTAGGAATGTGGATGTAGCCTTTGTGTAGACATTATATTTACTATGTGTTACCTTGATGGCTTTGGCCGAGTTGGGCAGCCCCTCCTCTACATCATCCAGCAACACTCCTCCCAGGCCCAGCTGGTCATGTTTGTCCAGCAGCCTCAGTAAGGCTTTCCTGTCCTTCAGGTTGTACTTGGGCTTGAAGCCATATGTCCCATCCCGCACGTCGATTTTTGGATTGTTGACCAAAGCCTGATATTTGCAGGGAGATGTACAGCAGTGAATTCCAATTCTAAGCTTGCTGGTTAAGTAATAAACCACAAAAAATAAACTTATCAGGTTTAAAACCTTTATTTTATATTTAAATAATAAATCTCTTTTCTTTAGGTCATACAAGTAACTGAAGGTTTGTGTTGTTGCTTTGTTGTTAATCTGTGGCTTCTATCTTACAGAATGGATGATATTATAGAAGTGAGAAGAAGGCCTACAGACTTCCGTGAGGGAAATCAAGTATAATTTGTAAACGTCAGACGTAAAATAGCTCAGTGTAATGGTGCAGGACAAACGTACACCTGATGTTAAAAATAAAAGGTTGTATGAAACTTAAGAAACACACCTCAGTCATAAGCCAATGTTTCTGCTTCATGCTGATGTCCAGAAGCTTGGTCTCATCCAGAATCTCATCTAAGGTCAAAAAGTGTGTGTCACCACTCTGATGCCTCGTCTGAGAGTGAAGCACAGAGAAGCACATAAATGTACATACAGAAATACACTCATATTCAAAAACAACATTTTCTTTAGCACTCGTTTCATCTTACACCTCCGACAGCATTTTATTTCAGTTTAATTTTCTCCCCCTCATCCATCAGTCAGGTTCTATGATTTAACTCTGTTTTAGATTATTCAACAGATGGCACAAACAAGCGCACACTCAAAGAAAATCTGTCAAGTTGAGAGGGAGTTTGCAAAGAGGGATGAGTCAGACAGTGAGTGTGACAGGGCCTGGCAGCCTCTCTGCAGAGCCACAGCATGAGCAACAAGCTGTTTACACACCAAAAGAAAGGCCGGGGACCAAATGTTACAAAGGGGACACAACTGACTCACTTGGTTGACACAATAGACAATAAGTCAAAGCTTTTTAAGAGCTTTGATGGAGATGTTAAAAATCTGGGAAATCATGCAGAGGCTATTGTGACAGCTTAAATTAGCTTGGAGAGGAGACATCCATGAGACTGAAATGTCTCAAACAGAGCTTGTGTGCAGAGAAAAGGATTAATACATTCCCCACTAAATAACAACAGAGTTTTGCTGTTTTATAGAGACGGAAACTTACCTTCATATAATTGACTATCTTGGCCAAGCAGCCAAATTTGTACCCGGAGCTTGCTTTGATGTTTATGTTGCCATTACTAGACTCTGAAAAAAAAAGTGGAAGAGCAGTTTGAATTATTAGATGGACTATATGGACAGATAGGAGCTATAGGTTTTTGTGAAAAGCAACTACCTTTCACATGAAAGCAAGAACAAACGGTTTTGATTGCTGAGAGGGGCAGGGGGGAGGGGCATCTTCTCCTTCCTCATTCATTACATTGATAAGGCATCACTCTGTGTAATCTTACCAATACAGACAATTAACATTTGAGCTGCACTTTTGAATGGCTCTCAAAAGGAACAGAGCAATAACATCCCTCTCCCTTTAAAGGTCCAGTGTGTCAGATTTAGGTGAAAGGGATCTATTGGCAGAAATTTAATGTAGAATAATCCTCATGATGTTTTCACTAGTTTGTTTCATCTAAATTGTATGAATTGTAGTTTTCTTTACCCCAGAAAAGGCCCTTTATATTTAAATACTTTATATTTACATGGAGGGGTCCTCTCTACGGAGGCCGCCATGTTTTTTACATTAGTCCAGACTGAACAAACTAAACATCTTTTCAGTTTTTATGACAACTGAAGCTACCACAGGTTCTTTTTCATGTTTGGAAGGAGAGGGTGAGGTGAGGGGTGTTCAGCTGCAACATGCAACTTCAACACTAGATATCACAAAATTCTTCACGCTGTACCTTTAAAGAGACACAATTCCCATCACTATGTTAATGTTTGGAAACACAGCTGTTAGTGGCATCAATTTATTGTTGATTTTGGTCTTTTCATGGAAAATACAGAATATCGCCTGCCTTATCCTGTAATGAAACACCCAACACCAAAAAATACAGCTGGAGCAGTATAAGAGCATAATTTGATGAGCATGATTAGAGGAACAGCCAGATGGTCCTATTCTCTCTTGGGAGTAAAACAATGCTGCTCCAACCCCCAGGAGACTGTCTGAGGTCTGGAGTCAGCACTCGCCAGTCCAGGCTGAAAACAGACTCTGAATCATGAATGATTCACGGTGTGGGCGGGAGCTTCTGTCGCCGCGAGCTGCCCCATGGGCCGGACACCGAGCTCGTGACAGGCTGGTTAACCAACGGTGCAGAGGCAGGACAAAGATGGAAAGAGCCAATGATAGAGAGGAGGAGACCGTGCTGCTCAGCTGAGACGCGAAGAGCTGCAAGGAGTGGCGGAGGGAAGCAAGGGAGGGAGTGCACAAGCGACGGCTGAAATTGCATGAGAGTGCTAAAGGAGGAAAACAGGTCGAGGAGTGAACGTGGGGGGAGGGAGAGAGTGGGAGACAGAGCGATAGGTGGAGCACCGAGAAGAGGAGAGAGCATCTGTTGACTTGCATCTTCTAAAGGACTGATCCAGACACACAGGTGAGCCTGCATATTTTTCAGAATAGCATCCTGTGAATGAATAGCACTGTGTGTGTGTGTGTGTGTGTGTGTGTGTGTGTGTGTTTGACATCAACATCCACAGTGTGAATTTAAGCTGCGGGCTGTTCTTGGTCTTAATGTGCAGCTACGACTGAGGGTTTTTGGTGAATAATGACGTTAAGTCATACATCTTTAACGCAGAAAATCCATCTTCAACAGCCAATTCCGTCTGCATTTGAATAATCTAATATTCGGAATCACTGTTTCAAGCAGTGATGTCAGGAAAATGCAATTTATACAACTAAGTAAAGATCTTTAGATCGAAATATAAACATTCAGGGCAAAAATAAGCAGCTGCGCAATGGATTAAATAATCATAGATCCCGTCTGTATCTGTGTGTGTACTCATGTGCATCATGTCCGTCTGTGTTTGTGGAAAATGCATGAGTCGATACAAACTGCAGCTCTCAAGACAAATCACTGAGGTACTGATCGCAGTGAGGCGCCAAGCAGGGGCATTAGGAGCGTGTAAGTGTGTTTGTGTGTTTAGTGAGCCTGTGAAAGCAGAGGACAACATCTAGTCCTAGAGCACCTTTTAAAGCTTGGCTGGGTGCGGCTCATTTACGGATCTTATCTGTCACTGTGTAGGAATTGTGTGTTGTATTTGTTTGTAATGTTTTAAAACAAAAAGTAACCTTAACCCTCAAGCAGATTAAAAAAGAAAAACTAGAATGGCACTAAGTAGAGCTCACAACTCCACCAAGGCCCAATACTCCCCTTACATTCAAACAGGCTGCACCCACACCCAGACTTTAGATATTTCACCTCTAAACATGCCTGATCCTTCGACCATCAAGATGAATTAATCTGTGACAATATCAAAAAACACCCTAAACCTCAATATTAAAGAAAGTGGATTCGCCCCCTGCAGCAAAATGTAAGAGGTTCTTCTCTGACCATTACTGCATCCTTCCACCAGTAGTAGAGTGGTGTAATCCTGCTTACAACTAAACGAGCAGGGGTCAAAACATAATTTCCTTGGCAGAGGTAATGACAAACACACAAACCTCCAATTCAATGCAGCCTTCTCCATGCACATGCGCCAGTGCAGGACTATGACTTAACATCTTAAGCTCTAAGGTAAAAATATGTGATCTGTTGAGACACCTGAAGTCAGTACATCAAGGACCAAAATCATTCACAAACTCAAAAACTACACTCTTAGGCACCCAGGTTGTACTAAGATGTCACAAATCTATTCAACATACAACAAAAAGCATGTGTTAATACACACAATGAGTCCAGTTTAAGGTGTAAGGGGAGAAAAAGACACAGCACAATGAAAGGATCAGTCTGCTGTAAAAAAGAAGCATGACCCTCTTTTCTCTGCCTCTTTTAGTGGTTGACTCAAGTAATCTGGGTCAGCTGCCTTGCTTTCAGTAGATAAATAATAAAAATGTCTGTGAGTCTTTAAAACATGTATGTGTGTGTGTGGGCAGAGAGACGAGTGCACTGCACCCTGAGGATTTAAAATGGTAGGCGCTGGATAAAAATGTGAAAGTATCGCAGAAGACAGACAAATGGCCTGTCAACGGTGCTCCTCATTTCTTTATTGCAATTCCTTAACAAGATGCTTCAGACTCACTGTGCACTCATCTAATCTATTTGTGCTCTGAGCAAATGGCCACTGTAAGGTTTCACTCTTTAGCAATATTAGCAATTTCTCCAATAACACGTAATAAAAGTCCTTCTCGTTCTGACAGACGTAGGCTCAGGTTTATTCTGTGAATATGGCGATACTGCAATTCTTTATACAGCGTCACTATGACTGCTACTGATCAGCAGTACTAAAATAATCACATTACAGCAAAGTACCCAACAGAAACCCTCAAGATAGGAAATGGCTTCCCCATAAAGTTTGTGACCTCCAGGGAGGATGTGTCTTTTACAAACAGCCCATTAGCAGTGCACATGGTCCATAGATTGATCATTAATAGGTTCACCAAGGAGGTTATGTTTCTGTTGCATTTTCGAGCAGGATTATGGAAAAACTACTGGACAGGTCACCTGCTGGAAGGGTATGTTATGGGTCAGGGAAGAACCATTTAAATTGTGGAGCTGTGTGACATTCTTATTTTTGTTTTTAATCTATTGTTGTTAGGGGTGCAGATGCTGTCTAGTCTGTAAGGCTGAAGATATTGTATCACATTTAGAAAAGAAAGACAACCCTAAATATATAATGGCCTGAAGAGGAATTCATTCGTCATTCTTTCACCATGGAAACAAGTATTTCACAACCATTTCTCTCTAATTTGCAGTCAACACAGTGAAGTGCAGAACCCCACTCAATACTAACATTCTCTCTGTTTTTGATGCTTTTAAGGAGAAATCATGGCCAACCTCACTGCCACCATACACCCAAGTAATCTCTCCCGGCACCCAGAGGCAGTGTCTCTTTCCCACGTCTCCTTGCAAGTCCAGGAAGTGTACCCCTTCCATGACGGCTGGAATGTGGCGTGCTTCATCATCCTCCTGCTCTTCATCCTCACTGTCCTGTCTCTGGCTGCCTTGGCCGTGCTCTACGAGCTACTTGACTGTGGGTGCTGCGCCAAAGAGAAAACACATCACCAGCTACAGGAGGAGGGGCCGGGGAGCTGCAGCAAGCTCATGACCAGCATTTGCAAGGAGCCAGAATCGCATACTGAGGTGGTATAAAGGCAGCCATGACGAGGAAAAGAGACAGTAGGAGATCGGGGGTCACTGCTGAGCCAGGCAATAGCACAGGCGCTGACCCCGATGCCCAGAGAAATGAACTTCAACAACTGTGTTATAGTGGTTCAGTTGCTCACAGTTGCAAAGGGGGCCCAGATAAAAAGGAAAGGGGCAGTGTTTCATTGATTTGGAGTGAGTCTTACTAGCTTTTCATTTTGGTTATGAGAAAACGCTCACAAATATACATTCGCTACAACTTGCCGTAGAGTGCAGACCCTGAAAGCCATATTTTACACCAGAAAATAACCAGGAGAGAGAGAGAGAGAGAGAGAGTGCCAGAGTAGAAAATATCACTGAGAGCAGCACTATTTAAATGGAATGGTTTTTACTTTGATTTCTTATATGGAGCCAAAAAATGAAAGCCAAAAAATATATACTTTAAAAAAAGACACTAATCTGGATGAATATCAGCAATTTCAAAAGGAAAGCAAGTTTTCTTGTTCAGCGACACCTTCTCTGTGAGTACTGCACATACTTGTTACCTGTTTGATGGAAATAACCATCTATAAGAGGTGAGAAATGTTGTACACTGTCCAAATCCAAGAATTTCCCAAAAAAGGGTCCGACAAGCAACAGAGATAATCTTTAAGTTGGATATGATCTTTGCATTGGATGAAGCCTGTGTTATTCCGCTCGTAAAATGTGTAACTGTGCCGTAAATATGTTAAGCATTGCAAAATTATTTGATGACTACTGACACGTGGTTGCTGCACAGTGATGTACTTTCATTTCATGTTGAGGACCATGTATAATTTCATATGCCTTACCACAAAATGCCTAATAAATTGTCACTTAATTATTTACCAGTTTTTAGTTTTTCTGCTGGAAGAAGCAGTTGGTTCAGTAATTATACTGAGAGATCCATTTATGAGGTCGCATGGAATGTTAATAGACAAGTCTGGGAATATGAAGACTACAAACTGGTTGTTTGTCATATTATATGTTTTTACTCTCTGTGAGCTGCTCTCTCTTCATTTAAAAGTGTGTGCAGGGGGAGGAGGACAGAATTCAGAAGGTATCCTGGTCTTGAACTACTGCTCCTTGTAAAATAATTGTTTTGAAACAAGTACCTTGTATTTAGATGGAGGCCTTTTGAGTTTGGAGAGGAAGCAACAGCAATTGTGAGAATGATATGACACCAGGCAAAATCTGTGAATAAGAGGGGCTCATACAATTGTACTCTCTACAAATTTTGGAAACTTTACTGAATGGCTTTGCCTCAGCCATTGTAATGACATAACAAGACAATGTTAGTTAGTTATATAAATGTTGACAGATGCATCCATATTGAAACTGAACAATAATACAAGTATTCTTTTCAGTACAAAGTTCTGTAATAAATGATACACAGACACCTCATGACAGCAGTATCAATCAAGCATGTGATAATCCATTTTTAAAGCTGCCTGCCTCACTTACCCGCGCTGTGTTTGGACCCTGACGAACCGTCTTTGTCACCTTTGGGCTTCTTCTTCTTGTGAGAGTCTGAGGCCGCCTGTCTCTTCTCTACAGCTGGAGTGGACAGAGCTCGTTTTTTGAACAGCTCCCTCTCCCTGAGTAGCGCTGGGTCCATCCTGGCTGGTAGGGCACAAAAAACAACAGTTTAATAGATATTCAGCTAAATATAAGTCATCAAAGCTACTTTTGGAGATGTTAGTGTCATTTAATAATTCCATCAAGGACGTTTTAGTTTCTGTTTGCTTGTCTGTCGGACAGAAGAATTACTCAACAACCTCTGAACCTGTTTCCATTAAATTTTGTGGAGGACCCAGAGAACAACCTTTTTTTAAGTCAGGACTTTTCCCCCACTTTCTTTGACGTGTTGAAAAGGGCATTCACCTCTGAGATACGTACTTTACACACACTCTCCTTCTTAACTTTTCAAATGCAGCCGAGCTGTTAAAGCCGACCTTCGCAAGTACCAAATATTTTCCTTCATGGAACCAGGAGAGTGGACGGTTTCACACCCCACACTGAGCACAGGAGGTATCCCACTGTAAACACAGCTGTGTTAAAACAGTTCAGGGCTCCGCAGTGAAAATAAGCAGAGAAATGTGAGACCCTGACGCCCTCAGATTTATCTCCTGTGTGTTTTGTGTTCCCTGTCTCCTCCATGTCCACCCAGCAGACATCTTAGTATTCCACCGAGGCCAACCTGTTCTTTACTAAGAGTAGACTTTATCATATATAACATAGGACAGTAAGAGAGTGGAATTTGACATGAGGCTCATCAGAAAGAAACCAACAATCAATGAACTCAGGCCTCTTAGAGAGCCAGTATAAATGAATGTGAGTCCCGCTGGAGAACAGTAGCAGCTGATAACAGCAGCCAGGATGTGGACATGAACTCCTCGTGCACGAAAATAAACTAACAAAGACCCACACACACGTTACAGCTAACTGGGTTAGCATTGTTCATTTACCAGCCTGGTTCTGAGTTAGCCTGACGTTGTAGCGTTATCGAGATTCATTTAACTCATAAACCAGCGATGACCGACACTACAGACACTACCTCACTTTATCAAACGCTGTTCACTCGTTCACATCCTCTGACACCAACATGGTAGATGTGAAGCACCGACACGGTCTAACACTGGCTAGTTAGCATTAGCATTGCAGTTCACGAGCGAACGTTACCTGACACTTTGTTCCGGTTCTCAGAGAAAGTGACGGATTCGTCCCGGAGGACAAACTAATACCAGAGGTAATACACCAGAGGGAAAGAGGCTTCCTTCCAGGAATAACCACTTTATCTTCCTGCGAAGATCATAGAAGTTGACGTTAGCTAAATAACTTCAGACACAAAACATCACATTTTCTTCCTCAGGCTGGACTTCCGGTTCTTGTTCGATTTCTCAGGATTCGACAGTTCATCCCTGGAATACGTCAGCACGTATGATAATCATTCACCGTTGAAAAAGAGGAAAGAAAAATAAATGGATGTGCAGAAACTATAAAATCAAATAAAGTAATGAGTTAATAACATCAGAGACAGCAACCAGGTCTGTAATAATGTTAATGATTAAAAAAGCTGAGTAAATCTTAAATCCCAGCTCAAAATGTAACATTTGAATATAATTTCAATATATGTGTCATATGTATGTGTTATTTTACTGTTCTACAATCAGTTTGTATTTGATTCTGTGAACCTTACATCACATGGTGTGGGTGAATATCTATGTCTGTTACTTTATGTGTGCTTACTTTATTTTACTTCTATACTTTGATAATTAATAAGAGAGAAAATCTGATTTCAGTGCAGTTTCATGTAGATATTGATTAAAATAACCTGAATAGAAATGACAAAGACGATGGATGAATGGATATTTCACACATATTAAAATATACGTCTGCTTTGGGTGAATAGGGAAATGAATGAATCTTATTCTTTAGATATATCAATATTAATGAGAGTGCTTATTCTTCTCAGCAGCACTGCTCGGTAGTTCTTTAATTACTGCACCTCTGATTATTCATTCGAAAGTGGAGCTGAAGGCACTAACTGGCACAAGGGCGCCACTCAGTTGTTCCTTTATGGTACTGCCTCACACATACTAATATTTTCTCTAATTTTCTCTGCTCTGACAACAAAAAGATAAGATCTGTACGTTCAACGTGAATAGTTTTATGAGTGCAGTGAGAGAGAGAAAAACATAATGACAAAGAATGTAACAAACAAAGACAGGAACAAATTAAGATAAAAAATGAAAAAACAATGATGTACTGATACATTAATCCCTTTTTTATGTGACCCCCCCAACTGTTTTCATGCTACCTGGTGGCAGAAGAAAAAAGAAAATACTCAAATATTTCATGGCAATAATAATTACAATTAACTAAATTACAGATGTTTCCAGATTTGTATAAACTCATGGCTGCAAAACAAACCACAATGATTCTGTAGAAATCTATTCATGCACTGCACACATACATTCTGCATACCTCCCACAGTGAGAAAGAATAACCAGAATATGAAAATTAATTTCATCTTCTTTGTCCGTTATCATCTAATTTTTGATATGTGTTGTGTTCTCTGTTGTAAAAAGCCACAGAACACACTGTGATATATTATGTGTATTAATAGATGCTCTCCACTGGGAAATTTAAAAAATGAATTGGAGCTTATGTACATTTTTGGTGCAAACTAATCTTATCTCATATCCTCCATCTGTTCCAGGGCCTTAATATCAAAAACTGGAGATGCTGAGATTAAAAGAAATATTCTCAATGTGATCTGTGATGCGTGTGTGTGCAAGCGTGTATGCATGAAACCCACATCCACACACACTTGATTTCACCACGTACACACACGTATACATGCAATAAAGTAAGAAGCAAATAGAAAGTGGTATGAAAATACTTGTTTCAACATTTCTCTTCTTGTGTCCTGTGAATTTCCTTTGTGATTCATCCAGTAGATCAACAAATCAGTATTTAAACTCACATAATGGTCAGGATTAGTTTGTCACATACAAGATTCTAATCAAAGCAGTGAACTATTATTGACTTCATTCTTCCTGTATGAACTCAAGTCCCTGGTTGGTTCCAGAAATTATGCCCAGTCCTTGACGATGAATAGATATAAGTCTCGATGTGCAGGTGGAGAACAGCACAGAACATAATCAGCTCATCCAACTCTCAGATGTTCATGTGGATCATAGGACAAATTAGCATCTCCAAAACTCCTAATTAATGATTCAGCAGGCCAGTCAAAGAAGTGAGCCCACATGAATGATTAAATATGTGCTAACCTAATTTAGGGCCTGATCCATAATGAATGAATTCAACTGTTTAGTCATAGCAGGGAGGGAATAGAGGGGAGAGGGAAAAGATGTGGACATCAGAGTATTGTTCGACTCATGAAGTGATGAATTATTCTGCTTCAGAAAGCTCGACCTCTCTGTTCCAGTCGCTGTTCAAGCCCCAACGACCTGCACAGCAAAGTGTAACCACTGGACGGGAGTCACAGTGTTCTCTGTATTACTCTGTTCAGTGATTTGTTGGTTCTCGAAATTGTGAGAGAGGGGTCATTATATCATGTTCCACAGTAACAGAGAGTGAAAGAGAAAGAGAGTCAGCACAGTAATCTACAGGTGAGGAGCTGAGAAGAGATGAGTAAAGTCCTCGAGCTGCAGACAACCAGTGCAAATCCCTGCGGAGGAGAAAATCTCAAGGTGACAGCTTTCAATTACAACAGCGAGAGAAAGTGAGAGTGTGTGTGTGTGTGTGTGTGTGTGTCTATGTGTGTGTGTGTGTATTTGTGTACTACCTATCAGCACTCCTGGGCTTCACTGACAGTTCAGTGTCACAGCTTCTGAACTGAAAGTACCTGATACACATAGAGAAACCCACACACACACTTCTTCTCCGTCTCATTTCCACATTTGTCTTTGCTGTTTTCTCAGGTATCGGGGTCGATCTTCTGTTGGACTCTGAGCAGCAAAGACAAGGGAGAAACAGCACATTGGAGCTTGGCGTAAATTTGTGTGTTTGGGTGTATATAATCTGTGCCCATAAGTGTTTGAGAGTAAATCACAGAAACAGACTGTTCGGGAAACAAAGGCCATGAGCAAACAAACTCCAGCTGAGGACTGACAATGTTATTTATTTATTTGGTAGTTTGTTTCATAGGATGATACAGAAAAAAAGTATAACCAAGAAAGAAGGAAAAAATTCCAACAGATATTGGATTTAAGACAAAAATCCAGCAAACACCAGGATTAACATTAATTACTCAATTAACATTAAAGAAAATGACAGAAGTAGCGAACAATGCATTAATCTGATTCTATTATCATTATTATTTTTATTAGTAGTAGTAATAGTAGAAGTAGTAGTAGTGATATTATTCGTGTAATCCATCCATTTTCTATATCACTTATCCCTTAAGGGCCCAGTGGGACTGGAACTAATAGTAGTGATAAAAATGTTTTTTATATATATATGTATATATATATATATATATATGTCATTCCAACCCCATGAGCATAGATGTGCTACTTTAACAATGACCCACTCATTTGGTTTTCTATCACTTTTTCTATTCATACACTGTCGGCAGAGCAACCAAAAGGCAATTTGGGTTTCAGTATCGAACCACCGCCTTACAAGTAAACAGACAACCCTCTCTACCTCCTGTGCCCACAATGTGAACGGGGACATTGTCATGTTGAAGTAAGAATTGTTGTCTCTACAATTGGAATCACACCACTCTGTGGAATATGACTGTGTGCTTAACTGCACCTAAAGCTCAGCACAGAAAAGCAGCCACAACAAAAGTACATAAAGGTGTCCACATACCTTTTCTAAAAATTTCAACATGCAGTGCAATTTTC